TATATATATATACACGTGTATATGTGTATGTATATTTTGTATGTGTGTATTTACACATGTTACATTGTATACTATCTTTACCAAACAGTGCACTTATTCGGAGGATTCATTTTTGCTCCGAGTGGACAGCGAAATGCTTCTGCGAATGCTTGAGAATTCATCATCATACCGTTAACTCTGAAAATGCGATTATTTTAGTTAATCTCCATCATTAATTATAAGATTAGCGTGATAATTTGGTGTTCGAAATTAAAAAGATATTAAGAAGAGAGAAAGTGTTTTCGCGCACCTTTCGGGATGAGAAAGGTAGTCGAATTCAACGGAGTCGTAGGCCTCGGCAGTCGTGTTAATGCAGTAAACCTGAAAGAAATTGGTTTTTAAATCATTTTTCACCATTGTTAAGAAATATTTTTGAATTTTCGCGTATGGTTTCTTCATGGTAGATTTGTAAGGATAAAAGACAAAATATTATTTCTTATTTAAAAAATAATAAAGTTGCAAAATAAAAAGGAGAAAGAAAGAGAGACAAAAAGAATAAAAATAAAATAATACGATAAATAGAAAACATACTTGAGCAGCACTAATGAAAAAAAGTTGGCTCGGTCGGAGTCCCTCCAGTCCAGGAAGACTCCGATCCTTCCCGTTTGTCAGGATGTGCCAAGTTTTGTGAGAAATTTGCAAAGCTCCGATATCCGCAACGTTCTCGTTTCTCGTCATATTCCAATCGAACTGTCGTACCAAAACAAATTGAAATTAAAAAACAAAAAATAAGATATTTGTGGGTTTGCATATTTAGCTCTCTCTGTACGTAGCATCTTAATGTACCTGTACGGCAACGTCATTCCCGTAAGACTGAACTTTTCGCCAAAAGCTTCTTGCGTAAAGTCTCGCCATACATTCTATCTTGGCTTCGAGTCGTTTCCAGGAATCCGGCGTGATCCAAAACTTCTCGTCGTTATTATTTTGATCCGGACTCGCGGACGATTTACGATGGAAATCGAAAACGTGGAGGATCTCGTGGGCAATGACCGATCCTAGAGTAGAGTGAACCGCGTAAGCCGGACCACCGTCCCACGACCAAGCCCAAGACGTCATCATAGCCAATGGAATTCCTTCCATTTTTTTACAACAATACAACTTACTAAAAGTCCATGTTTTTTTTTAACAACGAAACACGCTCCGTATATATAATAATAACAATATTTACCGATTGTGTTTGTGGACGATTCGTAATAAGCTTGCACGGAATAAGGATAGTGTCGTCTGAAAATGTATACAATTCTAATGATTTGCGGTGAAACGTTCGAGTTGACTGAAAAATAGACAAATATTTTTTGTTCGTTTATAGAGAGACGTATGTGGAACGAGAAAAACACGTTTCATTTGATGAGAAAACTCTTAAAGAGAAAAACTCTGTTTTGTTTTACTTGAAAAAATATACACATTTTTTTGGTTTTTTTTTGTTTTGTTTTTTTTGTTTTTTTTTGTTTTGCAACTTGTGGATTGACACACGTATTCGCTAGAAATATTCTCTTTACCTTTCTATTATGGTTTTTCGTAACATACTTTGGTCTTTTACTTCCCGTATCTGACGAAACCTCCTCAGAACGGTGGCGATAAAGTCGTCCGAATCAATTGCAACCTGTGAAAGACAAGACTTTCTTGATGACACTGCTAAATCTGGCAATGAGAATTTTGTGTTTAATTACACATAATTACACATAATTTTGTTTTCCAAATATCTCGGTTTTTGTTTACACAAAGCGGTGAGAGTAGGGGAAAATATATACTTAATGCTTATTAAAGTATATACGCAAAATATATTGTTCTCACCTCGGACATTTCATGTGCTAACAATGTGTCGTTGTAAAAAACGGGCGACATTTGAAATTGCCCTCGTAGAGAATTTAATTTCAACAACGCTTGTGTTCTGGTCTCATCGTCAAGCCACGAATTTATTAATATACGCTCGGCTATCGTTTCTTTCACACGTTCGAACAACGCGGTGACCTATAGAGTGACCAGCAATAACGTCTCGTTAGTAAAAAACAAATTGAACGTTGTGTTTTTTGATCTTTCAATCGGTCGAACAATTTCGTAGAAATGTAGCTTTCAATGTTTATTCAAAAAGCGGAGACGCATTTGTATATTTTGATTTATTTTATGAAATAATAATTTTACGTAACGCGCACAAACAAAAACACACATTGAGAAAATTACCCTGTTAACCAGAGTTTCTAGATTTTTCGCGGTGTATTGTCGAACATAGAGCGTGCTGACGGCTTCGCTGAAGATGTTTTTAGTCAATCTGTAGCAAGAAACTCCCCAGTCTTCTCTGACAGCGGTCACATTGACTATATCGTGCAACGTATCCGTGGCGTAGAGCAGCAGCAATCCATTGTGAATAATCCTTGGAAATTTGTTATTGTTATGAAAAAAACAACTAATACAAAATACGTGTTACATATATATATATATATATGTACACGTGCTACAAAGTCGTGTGTATAAGATGCGAGAGATGTGTGTGTGCGCGCGCGCGCGCGCGCGTGTATGTGTGTTACAGATATATGTGTACAACGAAGATTCATACCGTCTAGATGAGCGATTCAGTAATTTGCCGAGACTGCGAAAGTAACGTGGAGCAGTGACGTAAACATAAATCTGCTGGTCCTTGAATCGCGGTTGGTGTACCCGATTCGTGTCGTTGTCGTCATGCAGGTCAATACTGTTCGTGTGATAGCGTAACGTTGCATTTAGCAGTGACCTCCATCTTATCTGTACGCGTATATAGGTAACATATACATATATATATATATATATACACCAGAATTTTCCACAGGAAGACGAAATAATCATAATGTTCGAGAAAATAACGATTGAATTTTCATTTCGTTACGTACTGCTCGTCTCGTTTTAATCGAACAACAACAAAACGTTCTCATCGCGTCAACACAGATTAGTTGAGTTGTTGCAGACTTACGTAACCAAAGCTCTCCTGAAGATAAGTCACATTGTACGCAACGTACACCCTCTGATCAACATCCACCCAGTTGTATATGTCTTTGTGCTTGGGGTAAATCTGAAACGGCAAGCAGTTTTGCTCGTCACTTTGTACAATTAAAGGCAAGTAATACATATATATCAAATAGATGTGGTTATATTTTCACTGTTTTACCTCTTGGAGCGACAAACAGAACTGCAAAAGCAGATCCGTCTCCGACGATCGTTCTTCGGCGCTCATATTTTGTGGCAAAAATCCTTGAAAGATCTCTCGAATTCTATGCAATCTCTGGATGTTCTTGTTTTTCTGAATAGAAACATACATCGCGCGCATTGATATGATGAATAATCGCGAAAGTTCAAAACTTATTGGAATGGAAAGCGAGATCTTCGAGAAATGAGAAAAAGAAATTCTCGGGAGAGATTTTAAAGTTTGAAGTATTTTTAGAGAAAATCAAAGAGAGATACGAGAGAGACGAAATTGCGAGGATGAGTTGAGCGGTGAAGAAGAGAGAACAGGTACAAAAAAAAAAAAAAAATGACAAGGAAAAAAGAAAAGAGAGAAAGAAAGAAAACGATAAAATAAAAAAACAAGCTTCGATTTAGGACCGAGAGTTTCGAAAAGAAGTAAAAAACGTCGAAAAAGAGGGATGGAAAGTCGTGTGCAATCTTTACCCGGTCCTCTGGGAGAAACTCGTGGCTCTGATGTTTCGTAGGAAGATTCAGATATACCGACAACTTTGTGCGATCATAAAGATCTACGTCGACGTACAAGTCAAATAGAATCGCGCCATTTACTTTCAGTAACGCAGAAATCAGAGGAGTGATGTCGGTCGGTACTGTACTTTTTGGCGACAGATAGCCACCGAGTTCATCCAAAAGCTCATAGACTGAAAATAAAAAGAAGACGTGATTTATTTACGGAAAAAAAAAAAAAAAAAAAAAAACATGATTTAGGACTTGCTCGAATCTGCTCTTGTNNTTTTTTTTTTTTTTTTTTTGCTTTTGTTTCTCTCGATACGTTCGATACGTGCAACGTGTAGGTGGTGTATCAATAACTCGATGCCGTGTGCCGTTTGGCAAAACAGATATCGATAAAACTTACCGGGTGTGAAATTTACACGTTTCTTCTTAAAGTCGCGACAAACGTTGTAAAATTGGCCGAGTTTCTCAAAAGCGGCGACCATTTGTCCCGTTTCGTTTGCTATCGTTCCTAAAAAAACAAAAAAAACAAGAGAATATAATTTTTATATCCGAGACCAGATTTCCTAAGAACCAAAAAAAAAAAAAAGAAAAAAAGAAAAAGAAAATCTCTCCCGCGCTATTGTCTGTGTGAAAAGGGAGCCGAAGAGAATAAAACGACGTGGTTTGAACGATCGCGCTTTTCGACTCGCAAACCGGAGTAATTTGTGTATCACTCTCTTTCAACCTTCGACCTTGAATCACGCGAATAATATTTCGAAGGTTGCGTAAAACTAGCCAGTTAGAGGCTACACTCGCCGAGTAATAGCCAACACACATACGTGTACCTACTATATATCGATTAACGTGTATTATTTATAGTACAAGCAAGTCGGCCGTTCGATTTCTTTTCGCATTAGAGTCCAATAACTTTCCATCAAACAGAAACTCCGCTTTTTGCACCCTCGGGAGATAAATCGAGCATCAAAGACAAGAATAACGTTTGTGCCGTTTTACATAATGTTTGTGTGTGAAAAAAAAGCGCGTATATGTGCAAATATATAAAAAACACACAAAAAAAAAAAACGTTACAATCTTTGAAGTCCGAGCTTTTTTGTTTAACTGCGCGTTCAAACAGTTCGCACCTGTCTGCTTCCGTAATCAATTTGCCGCGGATGAATCTTAAGCTTCCCCTTTAAGTTTTGATCTTTAAATCGAGTTACATTATCCCGGCAACGCGGCGATCTATACGCAAACATAGTTGGTGCCAGTCGATCGGCGCCAGTCGTGCTGGCGACATCACCCCACTCTGTTGTACATATATATATATACATACATATATATATATATACATGTATGTGTGCATATATATATATTATCCACAATAGAATTCTTCCCAAATCCAGGTCGTATTCATTGTCCGAGTTTATCATGTTTTTTGCTTTGCCCCCCAATCCTTTCTGTCGAAGATTAATATATTTGATCGTTTATCGTGTTGGCTTTCGCGAACGCATCTTCTCTCTTTTCCTTTCTCGATTTCAAATGTCACGTTTTCGCAACAATCGCGCGACAAAAGGAAGACAAATTGTATTTTTGTGTGTGTGTGTGTACAAAGAGTTTATACAAAACAATTTTCTCAGTAGATATTAATTTTTTTTAACATACGCTTTAACTCGAAGAGTAAAAATATCTATCAGATTCCTATCTATTTCCACTCGCGTGCGCGTTGAACGTATAATTTTTAACGAAAAAAATAGCGCGCGCGCGCTTATAAATTACAACTTCGCGATTTAAATCTACTCCAATCGATTACGAACGAAAATCGTATTTCTTTGTGAGGTACTTGGTTAACGAAGCTGCCTTCAAAAACTTATCGGGCTGGAAAAGTATATTGGAGTGTAATACGATAAGAGAGAGAGAGAGAAAGAGAGAGAGAGAGAGCTGCAAAACGTAGTAACAGTTAGTTTTACTTTTCTTCGGTTGACAAGTATATTAATTAAAATAAATGTTTTTAGAAAGAAATTGTGCGCGGAGAGATGTAAGAAAATATATATGCTCACTGTGCAAACGCTCGTCAACTTGCGCCTGGAGCATGTTGAAACTCGAGCTCGGCTGATAAGGCTGTTGATCGCGAAAACCGCCGCAAGCGAATTTGTAAAAATCTTTGCAGGGGTCAATGCCTCGTTTCATGGACGACAGAATCCGTTTCGACGCTTCTATGCAAATATCCGTGTTACAAACACCCTCGGGCCCGTCTCGCTCTCTGATACAAGCTTCATCCTGAAACACAACAAATTCGTCTTTCAGCGGACGCGAACGAATTTTTTCAAATTGGTGAGACCAACTCGGTGTTCGTGCGAGAAATCTACGTGTTCGAATACTTTTCGTTATTTCTTTTCGTCAGATCTTGCACCAGGAAAAAAGAAGTGTTGAAACGCGCGTCTCCTTTTTAAGACAAAGGTGTGAAATTGAATGTTTAGAGCGAACGAACTTTTGTCTCGCAATTTCTACTTTCTTTTCACATTTTCTGAACACGCTTCTGTTTTTTTAGCGCGCTTTTTTTTTTTTTTTTTTTATTATTTTTATTAATTACATAAGTTCTCACACGTCTGATACTTGCGTATACATTTGACAATCCAACGACTGCGCGTAAATTACTGTGACGTAGGAAAATAGCTGTAGATGTAAAGGTCAGGATAAAAGTCTGACCTCAGCCGAGGATGAGCTTTCTATTCACCTCGAAACCTAATCTACTAATACGGCTTCGTTTTGTGTACTGGCATATATTACGACGTGTACATTTTGCGAGAATAATCGCGCGACCCGATCGCGGAAGTGTGACTCTGTCCTTATATCCTCAGTCGAATTTCCGCGTTGGAATAAAACAATTCGAGTCTTATTATTTTATTTGACATTTTTTTTCCCCCATTTTCCTCATCTGTTCTCTTAATCCGCCAATGTAGTTTTTTTTTTTTTTTTTTCTAATATTTTTTTCTCACTAATTTTCGTTACTGCAAAAGTGACAATACTCAAATCAAATTATCCAATCAAATAATTTTCCACGTTAATTTACCAAAGCGCTGATTGCAAGAATTCTTAATGCACGTCGCAAACACCGACTTACACTACCTTTCTCGCTTCTCGTAACTAAGCTAACGATCGATATAAATTACTCGCGACTTGTGGAACAGCTACTAATGTATTGCGCGTATAAGACGATTACTTATTCGTGTCATATGTTGTGTGTTTTGCACATTTGCGCGAGCTATCCTATTACGTCCTCATCGAATATGTATATATTTTTGTAACGTTTATTTCCAAAATCTCCAACTTATGTATATTTGACACGATATTCTGGTTCGATTGGTTTCTCCGTTCGTAACTGCATGTTCGCGTGTTACCTTAGCATTGAACGAATAGTGTAAGTATATATACACACTTTCCGTGAACGGTCGTAGAGGAAGAATCGAAGGGGGGGTGAAATACAAAGCACACTTACCAGTGGCGCGCACTTGCGGGGCTGCTCCCCCTCCGGCAGGGTTGTTATAAGAAATAGCACCGGACTGGTCACCAGCAGACTGGTGACCAGCAGCATGGCGAAGGTGAGCAGCGCCTTGTGCACGGCTTTGCTCCTTCTCAGCCAGTAGCAAGGCACGCAACATATCCATATTCCTTGATGAGCCGATCTTTCCACTTGAACCATCAGCTCGTCCCCCGCTACCCCGGCACCGGTCTCGTCTGTGGCCGCAATATTGGTAGCCACGTTTGTGCCGGTGTGTGCACCACGTGGGCCGGCGGTCCCGGAGGTGCATAAATTGCGAGGGCTCAAGGGCAGTCGCGCGCTCGTTGTCTCACGCAATCTATCACCGCGGCCATCAGCACGGGCCCCTCCGCGGGCCGCACGGCCTCCGCCGCCGTAACCACGGCTCACCGTACACAGAGCCACATTTGCCGGGATCCGTCGTACCTCTTATTATACGTCTAGATCCCCCGCCCGGACAAATCGCCGTCTCGCGCACCGTCAACTTTCTTCCGCCGATCGCACGGGGAATGCCGATAAATGTAACAGCGAGAAATTTATACGACACACCACCGCTCACCGAGTCGAGTGTGAGCGTTGAAATTCTCGAAACAGTCTTCGCTCTTCGTTTGACGTAAGCCGAACGATAATCGTTTTATGTACGTGTTATTCTTCGGCCAAAACGTAGTCTACGTAGTCTTTGTAGCGGTTGTAAACGAAGAAATTTCTGAGAGACAAGGTTCGTACGGTTATTCCGAAATATCACTACTTAACTAATATGTGTATGTTTTCTTATCATATATTATATTATTTAATTCTTGTGAAAAAATACTGTACTTTCGCGACGCGTATATAAGAAATTAATTGTTTAAAATAATTTGTTCTCACGTATATAATTTCTGGACTAATTAACGACTAGAAATATCAAAGAATGAATAATGTAAAAATCTTGCGTACTAGAGAGAGTCTTGTACTTACATGACTAGAGAGAGTGAGACTTGAAAGATCGAAAGAGAGAGTGAGATTCAAAAGTGATTCAAAATTTTACAATATTTTTACGCAATTTTTTCTTTCTCTCTAGAAATTTATTATTTTTACATACATTTTGATACTATTTTTGTAACACAGATTTGATTAAAAAAAAAAGAATATATCGCGAAGTATTTTGTATGACTTACAACTCGCTAATTGCATTTCGCGAATTATCTAAAAACATTTATGTAATAAATTAAAAGATAGAGCAGAGTAGATACATATAGAGTATAGAGTCTTCTTTAAAGAAGTGAATTCGATTAACCGATTGGCGAGTAAAGAGACCAAATAATAAAATAATAAAATAAAAAAATAATATAATAAAATAATAAAATAAAATAACATCATTAACTCTTCAGTTTTACAAGTATAATTAAGTTTTAGTCTTATTTGAAATTAAGTTTCTTAATCTTATTTGAAAAGTGATTAAGTTTTAGTCTTATTTAAATACAACCCTTGTGCGCATTAATTCAACGTTCTAAAGTTCTTGTACTTACATGAAGTTTTACAACAGACAACATAGAATATTCGAATTAAAATTCGTAGTTTTACACGCACTCGTCACGTTTCTTTCGAACTCCGTCCGCTTGTTAAATTTAAAAAAAAAATAACAGTACGCGCACATGACATGTGCTCGACGCGTCGTTCGCGAAAATAATCCAGGATCTTTCGCGAGAAGTTTGATCGACGATTTCTGTTATTTCTTACTCATATTGTCTGCGCGTATATTTTTTCTCACATTTCAGTATATTTCACGTAATAATAATACTGAATTGATTAACGCGATATATCTCTGTTCTCAGCATGATAGTAACTATCAGACTGAACCCAGACTGAGCGTTTCGCTTCTATGTTCCCACGCACCTCAACCCTTCCATCCCACCCCTCTAACTATTCCATTTCTATCCCCTCCTTCTTGTCACTTACGTCGCTTCTTGTTTTTTTTTCTGTGTGTGCACACTTCTGCTGTTCAACTACTACTACTTATACTCTCACGTGTGTCTCTTCCATTAATAAGCAACAAACAGAAAAGTAGCAAACGTGGTAAAGAGCAAAACTGTGTATCTCTGAATAGAATTTATTCTTATATATACTTGTTAAAATCTGTTGTTTTTTCTACTGTATTAAATACTTTTATATACGTGTGAGGAAAACATTCGAAGAAAATTGAGTTTTGGCAGAAACGTTCTTTTAGAATAAATATATAGCGCATTTTATACGAATGTAATACGATATCTAAAAACTCTCTGAAACATTTGTGGACCAGTAAAAATGATTACTTTGACGGCAAGAATGATCGAGAGTGAGAAAAAGATGTGGAAGTAAGGTACGGGCTGAAGACAATAGTAAATATCGAAGGTACATTAGATAAAAACGATGCCAGCCAAAAAATACAGATTTTATTTATCCACTTTTAACGCATACACAATAAAATTGGTTAAATCCATTTCAACTGCAAGGTAGAGATGTACATATATAATAAGATGTACGTATATATAAAATATGCAGGGTTAGGTACTTGAATTTTATGACGGATTATCTACCGTATACGCGTTGGATAATCTAAGCCATAAAATATTAAATGTCCTACTCCGTACATAAAATATATATATAAAATATATGTATGTGTGTATCTCTATATATTTCCTCTCTCTCTTTCTCTCTCTCTCTCCCTCTCTCTCTCTCTCTCTCTCTCTCTCTCGGTATATGAGAAAATTAGAGATTGTGTATCTCACATTTGTATTTTAGTTGTGTCAGATTTTAATAATAAATTTGAGATATTAAAGTTGAAGAAACAGAAAGAAGAAAAGAGACATAAAACCTTAATGTACTAAATACATATTTGATAAAATTAATGTATATAAAAATAATATAATAAGTATAATATAATAAGTAAAAATTATATAATATATATTAATAATATAAATATCAAACAAAATATTTTTTAATTGAGAAACATGGTTGAAGAGACAAATGAAACTTCAGCGTCAGTTACTATAATAGTGTGCTTTTATAACGTTTATAACTTTTAATCCGATTACTATTACAAACTCTTTTTTTTTGTACGAGAAAACGTTTCTCATGTTATATTTCTCTCCCGTCCAACAATTAACTCCCTAAAGGATTTACTACTCGCACGACGCACAAAAAGTATATAGCAGCAAGAGATGTTCTTTTATACACATATACATATACTCGCATACATATCTCGCATTTATATTATGTGATTTAATTTAAAGTAATATTTAATATTTGCGTTTTTTTTTGTGTCGCTATAGTTTCTAAAGTACATCGTCTACACATGCGGACTTTTGTTAACAAAGTCCGTAAATCTATGTGTGTGTTCTCGTGTTCCCCTCGCAGACGTTCTCGCGTGTGTTCTCCTACATTGCTTGCGTTAAATCGGACAAAAAGAAATAGATTCTTAATTACGCATTAAAAGCAGATATATGATATTATAATTGATATTTGAGTCTCAAGTATTGACAGCAACATGGGTTGGCATATATTATATACCAACGATATATTTCACTCTCAAAAAACATATGGCACGATACTTTTTCTTTTTTTTTATCGTTATATGTATATAATAAATATTTACCTCAGTCCACCGATATGCAGAGATCCAGAACGTGAGATCGTGAATGTCGAAATAACAAAGCAACAAGAAAAAAAAAAGATATTTATTAACGTTCGTTCTTTAAACTGCTACAGTTCTTTTGTTTTTTATGATCCTCTGTTAAAAAATGATATGCGGATATAATTTTGTGTTGACTCTTATATATTATACAACTTTTGGTTTTTTTTCTTTTTTTTTTTTTTTTTTGGTGCAAGACGAATTATCAAGTTACGAGAACGATTAATGATTACACTCTCTTGTTCCCAGAGTACTCGGTGTTGGTTTCTTTTTTTGTGTAGACGCTATCGATTCGATAACGTCCAAGTAACGCTAATGCTTTAAGTTCACCGCTCTGTCAGAGAAAAGAATAATTTATTCTGCTATGGTGAGTAATTACATACTAAAACTTCTTTCCTTAGTCATCAAATTTCGATCGTTGCGAACTTGAGAACTCTTCGAAAAGTTGTTGACGCGCGCGCGCGCATACACAACTTTAACTAAACGGTATTCTTTCTTAATAATTATCCTCTTAATTACATCGCACACAAACACACACACACACACACACAAACACCATTACTCAACTTTGATATTTGGTAACGAGAAGCGTACCATTATGAAGGATATGATTGATCGCAAATATATCGGATAACATCTGCCGGAAAGATTAATAATTTTTTAGATAATAATTTAGATGATATTTTGCGTAACAAAATTGATGATTTAACTTTTCGGTAGTAGGGCGTTAAACAAAAAAGTATTCTCCAGTACTGAAAATGATATGTAAGAAATTTACATTTTTAAAAACATAACACAAAAATTTTTCCATAAAAAAAAAAATTGGAAGTCGATTAAATACGTGTGTGTGTATATACACTCGATAATTTGTAAAAACAAAATAAAAAGGAGGAATAACAAACTATATATCAAAGAATGTTTGCAAACTTATCGTCTCTTCCGATTATTTAATGTTTTGTAAGTTCACAAATTTTTTTTTAACACGAATAACTCAACGTATTAAAATAAGTGATAGTAAAACAAAAACTTATGACTATAAAATACTTAAATCTCGGTACGAGCGATACAATCGGCCACACGTACTTGGATCCTACTAGCTGCTTTGAGTGTTCCCCGGTGTTTGTGGCATGCGCGGGATTGTGTGCGAAAAAATGTCATCAGACAAACGCTATATAGTTGGTCACTGGTTTAACTGCATCAGAATTTGATTAATCTGTTGTAAAAGTCGATGCTTTACTTCTGATATATAAGCAAAAATAAAAATAACGATTATACACATTAAATCTTATCTTTGTTATTTAAATATAAACGATACAAAACAAAAGAAGAGCTTGCTGGTAATAAATGTCTTACATGTGTAAACTGAAAAGCGCTCTTTGATTAATCAAACGGATAAATCGAGATCGCGTATTATTTTTGGTTACAACGAAACCAAGGAAAACCGAAAAGAGAATGCTCGCGTAAACACTTTTTGATCGAAATATATTTTTTTCATTTTCTCGGTGAATCGGCGATAAATCGTGTAAACCGTATTAACATCATTTAGATCGCGCTCAATCGCTCCTCGTGGGCCTTTTTCACAATCGCTAACTTCGAGTGAGGATCCGCGGTTGACAGACCCGTGTACGGCGGTTCTCTGGTTCCGTGTAGCATCAGTGTCCATTCTCTCAGCCATCCGTGTTGAGGTGTTTGAGTGTTGAAGCTTACCTGAAAAAGCAAGTGAATAGTTTTGAGTTGCACAGCTTCGTGTTTGCAATATTAAATCCCCGATGACAGATACACGTAGTCGCAATATATGAAGTGAACTTTGATTTCAACCGAACGACAATTAGAAACGTGTCGATTGCAACGTGTGATAAAAGTCAAGGTTGTTCACCTCTAACAACCATGTTCCTTGCGGATATTCGCCCCATGTGTGCGTTGTCATAAACGGCCACTTTGTAAATCCATCTCTGTGATCGTCATCGTTTATTCTGCGACTCAAGATCATGGATCTGGAAATTTTAAAGAAAACAAATTAAAATATCAATGATTCCATTCTCAGGAATATAAACAACATTGCTTGCGTTACCGACTCGTACAAAGAAGAAGACAAATAGTAAGAATAGAAAAGAAATAATACGATTGAAATTTAAAAGAGGAAGATTAAAACATGAAAATATGTTTTTTTTTTTTTTTCATACCTTGTACCCATCGGGGATGTAAGGAACAGTTCGAGGTCGCCTCGCCGAGTTGCGTTTACAGAAATGACAGCCTGTACGTGTTCCAGATAATTGACGGCGTATTCCGTGCCGGCGCACGCATCGGTTTTGATTTTCACGAGAATTGATCGGTCGCTTGTTACTTTTCTGTAACACGAAATATCTCGCGATCAAGAACTACTTCGAATAGTTTCGAAAACAAAATAATGAGATTTCATGCTGAAAAACGTCGAATCAAGAATGAAAAAAAAAAAACCCCCCAAAATACATCCGTGGTCTCAATCTGAGATCATTGCTTACTGTATCTCGAGCATAGAGCCAGCTTCGCAATGATACCGAGGCGGCACGGTCTTCCACTTTTTAGCCAGCGCCACCATAGCACCCGCGTCCAAAACGCCATATCCGAAAAGATGATTAAATTCGAGCCCAACGCCATTCATTGTCCAATGAAATCTGTTCTTCGCGTCAAACAGAGAATTCCTTTTCGATGTTAGGACAGTCAAATGCTGAATGTCTCTCCAGGTTAATTGCGGACTGGAAAAACGAGGAAAGAATTTGCAACATATCTCCCTCAATTTTGGCTGACGCGAAGTCTGGCAAAGTGCAAAGAAAAGAAAAAAATGTCAAATTTCTTGATAAAATTGTTAAACAAACTTATTACTTGGCTTCGAGAGCAAGCGCGAACACTCCCGCGGCCTCAGGTGCCGCGGCGGATGTTCCACTGTGAGTCGTCGTGCATTTCCCATACAGATCTGTAGTAGCCTGTTGTGAAAGAATGTGAAGAAGTCACAAATTTGTTAATGACACACGTGACTTGAAAATATATTTACACGTCTCAATAAGTTCTTTGGTAAAGTCGTGTGCCGAGTTCACGCAAGTGTGTCTTGACACTCTACAAGATCTTTACGTTTCACTCTTTCAGATGTGTAAATATTCCAACATAAAAAAAAAAAAAAAAAAACAAATTCTTCTTCCGAAGTAATTACCACTCCGGTATTGGGATCTTTGGCACCGTTGCTGAAGGTAGAGGCTAAAGTACTGGAACAACTCTCGTCGTAATGCGCGTTCTGGCCGTCGTTAATTGCGCTGTTGATGCTGATGGTCCACATGCTCGCGGCGTATCCGTCGCAGTTACAATCGTCCTCTTCTCCGCCGTCTCCGGAAGCCCAAACGTAAATGTTACCCAATCCGTTTCTGCCCTGAAAAACGCACACACACACACACACACACAAGATTAACGAAAATTAGCTTCGATACATTTTGTTTGTTTTTTTTCTTCCGAATGATACCTCATTAACGCCGCGAACAATAGCTCTCATCGTCGCGTTTCGCGGACCGTCCACCGTCTTCCCGTCATCGGTGGGTCCCCAGCTGGCGCTGTAAATGTCAATGAGATCCGGCTCGTGACCCATGCTGTTCGCCTCGATCAGATCGGTCATGTAGGGCTGATCCAACATTCGGATGCCGGCGATTTTGGAATCGTACGCCACTCCAACACCGCAAACTCCGTTGTCGCGCGCAGCTGCGACTTCTCCGGCGCATCGTGTACCATGACTTGGATTAAAAATAAAAAAAAAGAACGTTACAAAAGATTCTGTTCGATCTTGCTTCGATTATTACTTTTAGTTCGCTTGTTTGTTAATTTGTTTGATTTCTCAATTTAAGAGATGGATTCTTACCTGTTAAACCAATCATCGGTGTATCTCGGATATGGATAAGGATCATTGCTGCTAAAGTCGTAAGAAGCTTTAGCATTCTGAAAAGCAGACCTCAATGTTAGAGAGTCATTGTCCTAATGGACGTTGTTAATTAAAAAAAATTAATGTAAATAATCGAGTTAACGAACAAATAAGCTCGTGAAAATTTCCACAAATAAGTAAAGGGCCGATAGACTAGGTGTTAATGTATTTAAATTTTTTTCAATCCCTTGATTAGGATCTTCTTCAGTGCATTAACAAAAAAAAAACGGTTCAAAGAAAAGTTGATGACAGCAAATCCATTCAAAGAAAATATAATGAAATAACCAGAAGACTGTCCAACTTGTTGCTATCAACTTTCCATTTAACCGCTTTTTACGTTTTGTTAATGCACTGAAAAAAACAAATCTTCTGATCAAGAGATCGAAACGTTAGAATTCTTTTCTTGAATAAAAAGTAATTAAAAATCTTGTCATGAATAAAAAAGTAATTTAAATACGCCAACACCTAGTAGCACATTGGTTCGCATCGATTCTCTACTCGTTTGTTGTAATCAAGTTAATTGCATATTTATTCGACTGTTTTTTTTTTTTTTTTAAGAAATAATAAACGAAACCGTGTATATAATTAATGAAAAAATCTTCTGTGTGTGTGTGTGTTTAAAAATCTCTTGCATTAAAAATACAACTACAATTAACAACGAACAACTGACGTTTGTGCTTACATAATTAAACTTGAGATCCGGATGCATGTAGTCGACACCTGCAACATATGATATAATAAATATTATATAATTAACATACTATATATGCGTGCGTAAATAGATTTATGTGATTGAATAACGCAACTCTCTAACATTTCCACGTGCTTCGTGCAGCGTGCGACGAAAACCCAAGGGCTTCCTCAAAGAAAAACGAGAGAGAGATTACTAAACCGAAAGAAGAGAAGATGGAAATAAGTTAAAAAAAAAAAAAAAAAAAAAAAAAAAAAAATTCCGTTTCTTCCTTAAAAAAAACAGTCGATATTAAAAAAAAAAAAAAACTTCGATTCGGAAGCGATCTCTATTGTATATAGGCTTTGCGCGACAATTCTATAAAAGTATCTCTCGTTTCTCAGTGAGAAAGCGCGTTGCGTAACTCGCTCCTCAGCGGTATTGATTCCGAAGCTGCTACTTCAAACTGCATTCGGGCGCATATAATTCAACTCTCTCTGTTTTGACTGGAATTTATTCTTTCTACCAGTCGAGTTTGTTGTTACGCTGAGAAACAAGATAATAAATGTCGGTTTTTATTTTCTCTTTTTCTTTTTTTTTTTTTTTTTTTTTTACACGTACCATCGTCCATAATGGCTGTTGTCACATTTTTTCCCGTTACGCCCTGGGCCCACGCCGCCTCGACATTCAGATCCAATTTCGGCTTACCGCCATTTTGGCCGACGTTTTTCAGGTACCATTGATATTTGAAGAAGGGATCCGTCGGATCCTTGTTTCCAGGATTCGTAATTTCGTACAACGGCACGAGGTTATCTACGCTCAGAGGTTTGTAGCCCCTTTTCACTCTCTTGAAACCAGCCTGCTGTATGGCCGTGGCTACCTAAATTGTCGTTGTCGTGTTTAACTTTTCATACCATGTAGGTGCTCGAATATAAGAAGAAAGATTTTCTCAAAAGTGTTCACTTTATTATACTTATAAATATCAAAACTCACGAAACTTCATATATTTCTCAGACACTTTAAGTACAAAGGCGCGTAAAATGTGAATTAATTAATAAACAAAACCTCTTTGTAGAATAAAAAATCGAAATACTGCAAATACTGCTCGAAATTACTTTGTTTCTTTTTATATGTATATTTTCCTTTTTTTTTACATTACAATAAAAATTGTCTCGTAGATACACGAAGACGTTAACTCACCATAGGATCGACCTTTAGTTTTCGTGTGTGCGGCACGGATCTTTTGCTTCGTACATGGGGTAAAGTTTTATGTACGAAATGATATTCTATCCGACTGCCCAAAACCTACACAGAAAACGGATTCATTTAAAAAACAAAAGAGATCTTTGTTTCCTCTGTTTTTTGCCTCAAGACTTTTCTCTCTCTTTCTCTGTCTCCTTTGCAGCGAATTTAATAAAGTCACATAGATTGATATATATTAACAATATTTCTTGCGCGTGCGACTTTCGGAACCGAGTTTGCGTTTATTTTTACGGAGATACAGATCAGCAAAATTGTTTGTTTTAGTCTCGACGTGTAAATATACAGAGTTAACGGTGGAAATCGAATACTGAGTTTACACAAGGTAAACTTGTGGATAAAACTTCTGGGAGTTTTTTTAGAAATGTCATTTAAAAAAAATTAAGATATTCAATTGCATTACAAAATTTGATCGATCGCATCGATACTTTTATTCTCATATATCTTCGATATTTAGTATCATATTTGACAATCGATCAAACAACTCTAATTGTAAAGACATGTTAGTGTGTATACGACAAAAGATACGACTAAAATAAATTTATTGTCTAAACAAAATTTTATTGCATCAATTTATAGCTTGTCAATCTCCATTATGTTGGCAAACAATGCAGAAACGTTTGATTAACATCTGTTGAATGTGTAATTTATTTAATAATTTGTCTGGATACGTTATAACGATAAAATAACTGTAAAAATATGAATTCAATTTCATCACAATGAAATGAATTTATTTCACATTCTTTATTGCAAACATGTTTTATTTAATAATTTTTAAAGGACAACTCATATCTCTATTATAAAAAGAGTTGAAGTTTTTATAAAAATAAAAAACTTTAAAATGTGTGTCACAAAGAGAGAGAACTTTCTAAATAATGTTACATTTTTATAATTTTTGTTGCACACTGCGAAAACACATCTGCACAACTTCTCTGAGAGTCTTTTTCTCGTTATTTTTCAAGAACAGAAATATCAAGAGATTTGATGTGTCTTCAAGAGTGAATAAAAAACGTAAGATGCAATCCATAAAGTAGATTTGCTCAGTATATATTCCCACGCTCTCATCAGTAGAGTACATCAAACTACGAGCGAACGTGGCGCTGGATCTGAGACGTGACGCGTTACTAACGCACAGTATCAATTAAATTATCAAATAACAGGAAAAAACGTCACGATAACGTCGATATTTTTATGTCGACGTTATATCTCAAATAAAAATATGCAAAAATTTTATGCGCACAAAAAAAAAAAAAATAAAACGTACAGAGAATATTACTCTAAAAAATATATATATACATATATATTTTTTTTTATCACATTTTTTATATCACTTATCGAAAGTGGTCGAGAGTTAAGTTAGTGACATATTGAAAAAATGTCACGGGATAGAAATACCATCTGCTTGCAAATGTTCACGTGTCATTTTCCACAAGTGAAATGTGATAATGTGATACCATACGTGAAAAAGTGACACATTGATAATAAAGTTTTTAATAGTTTTTAAATTAAATTGTGCGATCCAATCTCGTTGCGCACTCTGTGTTTCGCGAAACTCGCATTTTCTCTGTTCTCTCATGTATAAGAATTTTAATTGAAGAGTCACTTAAAGTATGTGACGCGTCTCTTGTTCAAACAGATAATAATTAATTGATACACATTTCTCTTGAATATATATATATATATATACATGTATATATGTATGTATAATATATACCAGGCAATCAGGTCTTTCCTCTCAGCTGTTGAAAGTAAAAAAATCTCGTTTGCTCGCGTAATGAGCGTTGCGTGATCGCAACGAGACATTGAAGAGTCGACAATTAATTCGAACAAAAAAAAAACAAAAAAAACTCGAATGAGAGAATTATCTCTCCGTTACTCACCGGGCCAAGATTGACGAAGCCGTTTCTTAATGCTACGCGATCCGCTACATGATTCTCCGCTGGCTGCCGCATCCTCACCAGAAACGTGTTCGTGAACACCTCTGCGGTCGTTGTACCAGCAAGGAGGACGAACCCGATCACCGCGAGTAATAACATCGTAACGAGAAACGACGACCGGCGAGGTTTATCGGAGTCGTGCTTCGCATTCGCGAATTCGAGGATACTGGACACTCGAGATACTCGAAAGATACGCGACTGTGTATACGGTTACTATGATCGCGGCGGCGGTGGCGGCGGTGATGATAACGACGACGGTGGCGGTGGCAGCAGGCAACGGGGGTGGCGGTGGTGACAGTCGGCTCACGGATGGCACGAATGATGTATAGTAGCGCGATGCGACCGACAAAGAAGATAAAGGTCTTTTCTCCCTTTGGAGACTTAAAGAATCGTAAAGATGATTTATGACAAAAAAACGCGTCGTTCACAACGTGTGTGACAGAGTTGTCCGACACAAAAGAGAAAGCTCGTACAACACAGGGTATATAATTTTTGTTTTTTTTTTTTTTGCAAAAATAAAAGAGGCAGAAGAGAAAGAAAATTAACAAATCTTCTGTTTGATTTGTAATATATATATGTATTTTTTTTTAACTCGCGAACAATGTTTCCGAAGAAAACGCACGAAAAAGTTTTGAGCGATAAGTCATTTATTTATTAGCACTCGAAATAAAGTTTTGAATTGCGCGTCATTCACACAAAAGAGTGAGGCAACAACCGCGGAGAAAAAAAAACAACTTACGATGCAATTAGTATACTAAAGAACCTAGAGTGCAAGAAGAAGTCTCGTGTAGAACAACGAGACGAGACCAAGTGATACCGTTCTGTTGTGTGTGACGTCATGCGATATATTGATTAAAGAGCCCGACGCGACGTCCACGCCGATATAGGAAATCTTACAGTGCGCAAGCTCGCCTCGCTTTTTTTCAAGGATATTATGTGTACACATGTATAATTGCAAACAAAGAAAAAGCATACTTCTTCTATTTTTAAAAATATTTTCATTCACTTGTAAAAAAAAATGGGATAAAAATCTTGATAAATATATATATTTTTATTTGCTATTTGCAACAATATATAACACATTGATGTAAAAGTTTCTAAAATTTAGCGGAGAAGAACAGTTACGATAAATATGTACGTACACAACAATTGTTATAACAGTATTGTGAGTGTAAATAAAGGAAAAAGAAAGCAAAAGAAAATAAAAACGTAATCTACATTTTAAATAATAATAGAAAATATATATACATGTATATATATATATATATATATGTAACGTATATCAATATGATTAAATATATTTACAAAATCTTGTAAACATTGTCATACAATGTATACCAAGTACGTTAGAAAAATAGAAACAATAATAACAATAATTATAGAATAAATTTTCGTCGCAGGAACGTAATAAAAAAAAAAAAAAAAAAAAAATGACTATAGAACAATGTTATTTTTCGAGTTTTGAGAGTGTAACACACGAGAGAAATTTTATATTATATAAAGCATTTATGTGTTCTCATCTATTAATATTACTTTTAATCTTCGTAAAATACAATTTTCTTTTCGCTTCAAGTTTCATAATGGCTTGCAATCTTTTCTTCTCAATTTCTTCTGCGGTACATCCAGCTGGTTGCGAACTTCTGTTTGTCACTTCCTTTTCTACATCGCTTTTCATATTGCCAGTCGAATGATGCCTAATAAAACGATCACTTTCTTTTATTGGGCACTTGTTAATATTGTAACTTTCGATGCGGTCCGCGCCTAATGGAACTGCGCTATTCCTGCTTTTGTACTCATTTATAACATTTGTAGTTTTACTTACAGAGGCACTTGTAATACTTGAGTTTGTTATCGTAGAGGTTTTAATCGAATGTAAGTGATCCGACAAGCTTTTTGTTTTAAAAAACTTTCTATGTTGAAAGGAAGAGGAAGCAGACGTTTCCGTTTGTATTGCAGTCTTAAGAGAATTTGCGGATGTGGCTTCCGATTTTAACAGTTTTTGAGGTAAATATTTATAACTAATGTCACTTTCAGCACCATTGTTTTGACGAGTTGAAAACTTATCGCATACTGTCGACGAAGACAAGACCTTCTCATCTTCAACCTTTTCATCTTCAATACAGGTTGCTAAACAGTCATCGAAAGAGTCATCTCCAAATAGTTCTGTGGTATTACTCTTCACCGAAGTACTGTTATCGCATATTTTTTTAACGTGGGAGTGTGTCATAGTGTCGTTGTTGTTTAGACACGTCCTATACAAATTTTTGTCCTTCTGCACAGCAGTATTTCTTTCCAAGCTTCTTCTTCTCAATGAGAAGCCTGTTTTTAATGCAGCACTATTATTTGTGCCCTTGTAGGAAGTGTGTTTGGGTGACACTTTAGAATTTTCATTACAAGTAAAATTTGTGCAAGTTTTATCTACATTGCTACTATGATGTGGCTCCTTTTTGGTAATTACATCTGAGCTCATGGAATTTTCTTTGTCCGCAATCAACTTGAATTTTTCTTCCATCTCTTGAGTACATCTAATCATACATTCATCTACTGAATCATCAAATAAATCGTCATAACTTCCATCGTTTTTACTATTGTTACAATCATTTGTTTCGCCAATGCAATTCTGCTGATCTTCCACTTCCTCGTTTGTGTTTCTCGAGGCTAATACCATCTTTTCTTCTCTATCTCTATGTCTTTTGTCTCTTTCTCTTCCTCTTCCTCTTTCTCTTTCTCTTTCTCCTCCTCCTCCTCCTCCTCCTCCTCCTCCTCCTTCTTCTTCTTCTTCTTCTTCTTCTTCTTCTTTCACGTCAACATTGAATGAAATCGTATTACTTTGTTTTATGTGTCTCATTTGTTCATTTAACGCTTGCAATTCTGCTGAAAATTGTCCAATATTCTCTATACTTTCCATCTTGACGGTTTTCTTTTTGAGCGGCTTATATAATAAGGGTGAGTTTGAATTTCTTTTCTTTTGCAACAATTTTGCTCTTTTTGGCGTCTCAAACTGGGTGTTTCTTTTTTTATTTCTGCTTTCAGGAGTTTTATTTAAAGAACTTTGCCAGTCCCATGCAACTTCTGTAGCGCTCTCTTGTGTACATGGAAATAAAATTGGACTTTGAAGATAATCAAGATCTGGAGACTCTTGTGTATTATTTGTAATTTGTTTTTTCCTAACTGGTGTATTATAACCAGAAACTGAAGTTCCTTCACATCTTTGAGGAGACTTGATGTTCTTTCCATTAACCTTATCATTTGTAGGCATTGTTACTTTTTCAACATCTATGTGGGGGAATTATATACGTATCACTAGAACATAATGAGGACTATATTAATTATAATAAAATTTAGTAATTATAATACATCACAGATAATCACACCTACTATTTCTCACAATTAAATGTGCAGGTTACTTTGAATTTTTAAACACATTTCATTATCGACTTTTATAACCTTGTTTTTATATAAGCTTTCAGCTTCGTTTATCTAATATATGATGTATATGATATATTTCATGTATATAAAGTCAAACTTGTTTAAAACAATTTTAAATTCAGTGTGAGCTTTGCAGCTTAGAAATATTTTTTTCACTTAAATGACATATATGTTTATACACACGCGATATAAATAAAGCTAAATATACAATGATCTTAAGCCGAGATCACAATCTTCAAGTATTTGACCAATCGCATTGCATATAAATTGGAGGCAGCACTAAACTCTAAAGTCCATGGACTATTAGATTGGAATTTATCCAATTAGAAAAGAGCGTGAAATTTTTGACTGGTTTTCTGATTGGTTAACAATAATCCACTTCAATCTGAAACCTAACCTAACCTAACCTAATCTACTCTATCATCCGATACGGACTTAATGAGTTACTTTTATAAAATACCTTTCCAATCGACCTATTTTGATTACATTTGACAGCTGTCAAAAGATCTATTATGAAGCATGAAAGAATACATTAGAAGTAATTTAATAGCTTATGTATGCGATAATGAATAAAAAAGAAAGAAGAGATATAAATAGTTAGAGTTATCATATTTTAGGAAAGATATAATCTCAGACACTTCATGAAATAATTCAATAATGAAAAAGTCTATATGACTCTCACTTATATATTTTTTTGTTTTTCTAAGTTAATAATTTATCCTTATTTAACTTTCGTAACCACTCATGTAAAAATGTCAGACTATCCGAACGTTTGAAAATTTTATAATTATTATATATAGTATACATATTGACTATACATATTGACTTACTAGATAATTGTTTATAAATATTACGCTGAATCAAGAGACGCGGCACCATCTTGCGCGTATCTTTTATAAATACATCATAGAGACAATATCTACAATACATTATCCAAAAACATAAATTTTTACGAATACAAAATGAAAAAAATATCATTTATACGAATCGTAAAACGTTTTTCACATCTGTCAATTATACTATCTCTTAGAAGATCATTGTTTTGACAAACTAAATACACTAATAGAAAGCTTAGAGTTTTACATGTTACAATTAAAAAAAATTCAGTTCGAATTATTCTGTGAAATAATTTACACTATAAAAATATATTTTGCGCGCGTATAACCAGCAGCTCACAGTGACCAAAAAACTCCAAGTTTGATATATAAGAGATTACCTTTGTAAAATCGTTCATAAAGCAATTGTTTTAATTGGTTTGCTCAATTTAGCGTTATTATCAATTGTTTTAGTACACTTAAATTATTATTTTTCCAAGCAATTTTATATATTTCATAATACAAAATGTTTATGTGTCGCTATCGTCATTCTCTTCGTTCGATTCTGAGAGAGATAAAAACAAGGACTTATTACCGGTATGATTTCAATACCGGTATTATACTAGAGATTGTATACCGTTACCGTGTTATAGTACCGAAACCGATATGTACCGAAAACCGTAATAAAATACCGGTATTATTTCGGTATTCCTACTAATGGTATTCTTAAAAATTAGATAAGTTAATTAAAGCAATTTTTGTTGCATAATTAATCTTCCTACCGCTTATTGGACTTATAGNTTTGTTGCATAATTAATCTTCCTACCGCTTATTGGACTTATAGACCGACAAAATATAAAGACGCTTTTTTTTATAAACCAATTGAAGCAGCTGTTTATTCATGCTTTCTTTTATTACGTAGCATGACTAATGTAAAGTGAAATTTTTTACAAATTTGGATATTGATAAATATGTCTATGTGTATTTTGTTACTGTTCTTAATTATATTAATTATTGTTACTGTTGTTAATTATATAAAAAAATAATAATAATTTAAATAATATTAAGTTTCTGTGCGGCAGTTTTTTATAAACATTATATTATTAAAAAGTGTTATCAACATAATGACAACACTTATAGTTTTAAGATATTACTTTTTAAAAATCACGAAAAAATTATCGGTAAATATAGGTAAATATGGGTAAATATATCGGTATTATCGTATATCAGTATGACGTCATACCGGTATTTCTGCATTTCGGTTTGCATAAGGGTTTTCTTATAGCGATTTCGGCTGGTTTGCACCGACTGCACATTTCGGGTGTCGGTGCAAATTGTGTGTTCGGCTGGTCGAATGGCAGCAGTTCTTTGCTGGTTCCGCGTATTCGTCTGAGCTCAGTACATCGCATAGGTGCATGTTGGGTGTACACAAAGTGGCTCTCACAAATTAGTCGGAGCCAGTTAGTGTAATTAGTACACACACCGATGCGGTGTTGCACACAATTGCACCAACTCTACACAGGTGGCACACCGGTGCAGACCAGCCGAAATCGCTATTAGTATTACCCAAAAATATCGGTAAAATACCGGTATTTTGCATATCGGTATAAGTCCCTGGATAAAAAAAACGCTTTAGCGCTGACTACGCGCACTCCAATCACAATTTATCGTTACTTTATTGTAAAAATTTAAAAAACAAATGATATGCGCAAAACTTTAGTTTTACATTTTTTATGTCTTGTTTCTATTTCATATGATAATTAGAAATTTATACTAAATGATAAAATTTGTATTTGCATGTACATAATCTGCGTTTAAAAATTATTCATATACAGTGCAAATTACAAGTAAAAATTTCGATAACTAAAGTTCACAAAGAAGAAAAATTTTTAACAACGCATGTGGCGTATTTTCGGTATCTATTATTAAGTATTATTCTGAAGAGATTCAAATTTTGCTTTTCATTATGCTATTTAAATTTTATATTTGCGTTTTATTTATATAATAGCAATTTTAAGTTGTTTTTTGTCTTTTCCACAATAACAGTGAATTTACACACGAGAAGAAAAGAATATCACAGAGAAAAAAAAAAGATGTTATAATTCTATGTTTGACATGTTTCTTTCATTAAACTTGGCAATGTGTTTTGATTTTATTTTTTTTTAAAGCGCGCGCACGCGTAATTTTTTTATTTAAGAAAAATAAACCTATTTTTGCTAATAACACATTTACTTTAAACAAAATTTTTAAAGCAAGAGATATGCTTAGCAGTTTCTTTCTTTTAATATCATCACTATCTGTTTTACGATAATAAATAAAAGTTGAAAATATCTTGTACAGTTCTGTCATTTTAATAATGGCATGTTTTATACAAGGGCAAACTTTTATTACATATTTGCATGTGTTCGCCAATATTAGTATTGTAATTCGAGTATTATAAAAGCGATCGTTAATTACCTACGGAATTAATTTTTTTTAGTCTTTTAAATGGTTATAAAAGACCGTCCACAACAATAATACTAGCTCAAATACACTGAGAAGCTTGCAGTAAAAGATAAATGAAAGGTAAGCATATGTCTTATAAATTTACAGAAATTACACAGTATTAGTGAATATAACGTAAACGTTTATAGAAAAGTAAAATTTGTTTTTGCATCTGTAGAACAGGTAAATTTCCTATACGGTAGATAATAATTGGAGCGTCTTCTCAATTTGTGAATATTATATAAGTATGTGTAATTGGTATTTTGACATGTTTGTTGGTGAGTGTTTCATTACAATCCATTTTTTTTATTCACGTAGCAATTTTGCCATTTCAATTAATAACTTAAATTATACCAAATGTCCCTAGGGTATACAAAAATGTATTTTATCTCTTCTGTGTTATACGCTCTGTGCGTAGGTATAATCTTTGTAATTATATCAGCAATATATAATCAATACATTATTAGACAAAAATTCAAACGCTTTTCTCAAGTTCCCGGATTCCCTTTCATCGGGTTATTTTTAGAAATAATTACAACATCGGAACACGGTAAAGAACTTTGCAAATAAAATATTTCCTTTATTTTGTAAGTATTGCATTAAATGTGTGCACACATGTGGATACACATAGACATAAATACATTTAAAAAAAGTATAAAAAGTTGTTATTTTATTTTAACTAATATATAAATAAATGTAGTCGTTTATTTGTACAGAACGCACGGAACGAATATTATCGAGATGTAATGAGTATAAACAAGGAATATGTGTGCATTGGCACAACAGATCTACACCAACAATAAACATATTTAAACCAGAATTTTTACAAGTAATGCAAATAATAGCTCTAACTTTTAAATATCAGCTATTATACTGTGTGATGACAAGTGCAACTTGTTAATATAAATTATATATTAATATATAATTATATGTATAATATATTGCCTGCGGAGTATTATCACAAATTTTATTTTTGTTTTGTATACAGAGAATTTTTTCCAACACTATAAATATTAAAAAAGGACCACTATACGACATGTTCAAACCCTGGATGGGAAATGGACTTCTCCTCTCTTCAGGTAAACACAAAAAAAATGTTTAATTGTACATATAATCTTTCAGCTTACTTTTCTTGATTATATTTTACACTAATCTTAAATTCATATTTAAAACGTACAGTAGTTTGAAATAATTTTGTTTTTCTTGTAACATACGTTACACGTTCTACAGGATCGCAATGGAGTCACGACAGAAAACTTATCGGACCAACATTCTATTTTAGCGAATTAATACAGTTTATCGAGATCTTCTCTGAAAAATCGAAGATATTAACAAAGATTCTCGAAAGAGAACTAGAAACAAATCCTACAAAACCCATCGATGTTTATCCGTTTTTGGCCAATGCGTTTCTCGATATTATATGTGGTAATATATGCACCATGTTATAATTATAATTGTAATTATATTTACGATTTTTTCTATAAAATATGTATACCAATGTGTACACCAATTAAGAATTGATCGCTGATATTAGTCAGTATGTTATAATTTTTAGAAGCCGCAATGGGTGTGAATATATACGCTCAAGAGAGCGACAGCAAATATGTTCTACTAGCCAAAAAGTTAGTCTAATACATTTTGTGTTTTGGTCATATTGTTATTAGCACTTTCTACTCTCTGTTATAAGTAATTGGCGTTACTGTTTTACTTTAAAGACCAATACTGTACAGTATTAAAATTGGCAAATCTGCTATTATAGTTACTAATTTGTAGAGCTTCCGAGATGGCTATACAGCGATTCTTTCGGCCGTGGTACACATCGGACTTGTTGTATTTTTTAACACCAACAGGAAAAGAAAATAAAGCAGTGTTGAATGGTCTGCATGAATTTTCGGAATCAGTATGTCACGTTATATTGTAACATCTCAATGAAGTATGTGCTTGTTTCTAGAAATGGAAATTATAGCGGATTTAACTATAATTTTAGATAATAAGGAAACGAAAGATTGAACGATCGAAAACCGACTACGCCAATCTGAATAACACAGATAATGATAATACAAGTATGTGACAAAGTATTGTAAAATGTGCTTTAGCAGTTTACAACTAGGTTTTATTTAAGTATAAAATTTATTATTAGTCAAGCGGAAGAAGGTTTTTCTAGACGTGTTACTGGATCAGAACGAGAAGGACGATACCCCGTTAACCGATGACGAAGTGAGATCGCAGGTCGACACGTTTATGTTCGCGGTGAGAAAAAAAGAAAGACAATGAATTATTTCGTTGGTTAGGCTGCATTTGGGAAGCTGCGCTATTTCATCAATTTATTACATATATTTATATATTTATAAATTTATACAATAATGATCGCGAGGATGTGTAAAATTATGTCCACGAAATTGTCCTATCGTTACCTTTAGTGTGCGACGCTGGATCGTCTGAACACTTTGTTGTGACTCTGAGGGGAGCAGTAAGCTTTATTCATCCTTTGTCTTGTTTTGATGTCTTTTTTTTTTTTTGGTTTCTTCATCTGATGCTATTAGTGCGATATGTTTTCGCTATAGTTTTTTTTAGCTTGGCGCGAATATAGACCGTCGACAGTCTCAATCAGATCACTCTTACGACCATTATAAGTACCAAATACTTAAATTGTTAGTGTAAAAGAAGTTAATAACAGGGTCTTGATACATCTACGATAACAGCAACGTGGACGCTGTTTTGCTTGGGCAACAATTCTGAACAGCAAGAAAAAGTTCACGAAGAACTGGAAAAAGTTTTCAAAACTAAAGACGCACCGATAACCATGGAGAAAGTGTCACAATTGAACTATCTCGAGAATGTCATAAAAGAATCGCTCAGACTATATCCAAGTGTACCTTTCATCTCCAGGAAATTAATAGAAGACTTAAAACTAGGTAAGTATAAGGGAAAAAAAAAATGTTTTTGGCGATGTCTTTTCCAAAATCTTTGAGAAGAATAAATACAATTCGCGACTAGCGTTTCTAAAATCATTATAGAACATTTGTGCGTATAATACGTTTCTCGATACATGTAAAGTTCGAAAAAAAAGATGTATTGTTTTGATGATTGTTCTATTCGTTTTGCTTTAGATAACTATGTGGTGCCAAAAGATACAATAGTCGAAATACCAATCGTATTGGTACACCGAAATCCAGAAATTTGGCCGGATCCTCTTAAGTTTGACCCAGATCGATTTCTTCCGGAGAACTCGAAAAACAGAAGTCAATACGCCTACATTCCGTTCGGTGCTGGACTGAGAAACTGTATTGGTCAGAAATTTGCGTTACTCGAACTAAAAGTTGTGCTTTCGTCTATTCTCAGAAAGTGGAGAATAAAAAGTGTCAAAACGCACATTACAAATAAGTGGTGTATCACTTATCATCCAGGTGAAGAAGTACTTATTCATTTCACACCGAAAACTAATTAGTTCTTTTTACGAAAGCTGGTTAGTTTTTGGAGTACATACGATAATTCAAATTGTTGAGTATATATAAAAAATAATTAAGTTGGAATATGCGTTCACAAGCTTCGCGCGTGTCAAGAGTCCGTCTGACATGTATATGTATGTGTGTGTAAATAGAGTGAGATAACGTAGAAGAAGATTCTAAAAGGCAGTGAAACAGAATAAACAAACACGGATAAATAAAGATGAGACAGGTGAAAGCGAATAAAACAAAAAATGAGAAAGCACTGATTTGTTCTATCAAGCGTTCAACGTGTAGCGAAAAGAAATGTGTGAAATAAAAGAGATGTGTAAATATCAATGTTGGCAAAATAAATTTTGAATAGCATACAACACTGTGTGGATGATTACAGAACACAAATGATCGTATAGAACGAAAATTAAAAAAAGAGAAAAATGAAGGAAAACTCCTCAAAAACTCACATTCACTTTTTACTCTGCTCTTGAGGACGCAAATAAAACACTAATTTTAAAGTTGTTTTATTTTCTGCATGGGCACTAATTTACAATTTCTATCTTTATTTTATATTAGAAGGAGAAAGATGGACTGTGAACTGGTGCAGCCAGTGTAATTGAAAATGAAACAAACTTATTGATTGCGTAAATATATTTTTTGTATTCTTTTTTGTATAAAACCTTAATTACATTTACGATCACTTTGTGTCTTTTTCTTAATATTGTTAGACATTTAAAATCATTGTATCAATTATCAAAATCTGAAATTTTATATAATATAATATCATATACATATATATCTTGTATACATACATGTAAATACATATGTATATCTAAAATATTTGATATAGTGCTTGCACATAGCTTAATTTTATGTGTTTGTCTTGTTTGGATTCCAACAGAAAATCGACTCGAGTAGCAGATTGGTATTCTTTCACTAAATATTCCACAATCTCTTGTATAGATATCTGGCTTCTAAAGATTATGCACAAATATTTTCTCTTTACAAAAAATTGTTCTAAAAATGTCTTTCGTTTACGTAATTTGTCACATTGTTGTAGAGCTCTATCAAACAGCTGAGATTATTTACCAATACTCTAAAACACTACATTTAAATACTTTATTATGATTTACGGTACAATTTCGGAGATATTATCATATTTTAGGAAATATATAATTTCGAACACTTCATGAAGAATTTCAATAATAAAAAAGCCTATGTGACTTACTTACTTTATATATTGTTTTGCTCTTATAAGTTAATTATTTATCCTTCTTTACTTTTTTTAACCACACATGTAAAATCTTACACTATCCCGACGTCTCGTAAGTTTGTAATTAATATATATAGTATACATATATGTATATTAACTATACATATATGTAATATATTAACTTACTATATAATTTTCTATAAATAAGATATTTGCTGAATCAAGAGTCGCGGTAACATCTCGCGCATAATCTTTTAGAAATACATCATAGAGATAATATTTACATTATTCAAAAGCATAAATTTTTTACGAATACAAAACAAAATGATAAAAATATCATTTACACTTACTGAAGGACGGTTTTTCACATGTAAATTATACTATCTCTTAGAAGATCAGTGGTATAACAAACTAAATACACTACTAAAAAGGTTAGAGATTTACATGTTATGTAAAAACACAAATTCAGTTCAAATTATTACGTGTAATAATTTATACACTTTGAAAATATATTTTGCGCGCGTATAACCAGCAGTTTACATTGATCATTGAACAGCTCTAAGTTTTATACAGATATAAAAAGCTTAACTTTGTAAAATTGTTTATAAAACAATTGTTGAAATTGGTCCGCTTAATTTAGAGGTATTATTAATTCTTTTAGTATTTAATTTCCGAGCAAGCTGTTTTTATACATGTACCTTTAAATATTTGTGTTGTTATCGTCATCTTCTTCGTTAAATTTTGAGATAAATAAACAATGTTTTAGCGCTTACTACGCGCTCTCCAAGCACAGTCTATTGTAAAGTTTTAAAACGCAAATGACGTGCGCATCATTTTTCATATTTTGTTTTTATTTCGTATGACAATTAAAAAATTTTTTTTAGTTGTCGATAAAATTCGCATTTGAATATGCACGATCTGCAATTGAAAATTACAGATAAAAACCATTTTTAGACGCGCACTTGGTGTGTGTTTTTGGTATCGTTGAAGGTTACACTTATCTGTGAGATTAGTCTCCAATTGGTATCTGCTGTTTATGAAAATGTTTCAAATTTCGATTTCCATTATGATATTTAAAGTTTTGCGTTTTTTAAAATAAAATAGTAATGTTTTTATATATTAATAATTTTATATAATAGTAATTTTAAATTTTTATATAATAGTAACCTTATATATAATAGCAATTTTCAAGGTTTCTGTCTTTCTCATAAGAACAATGAATTTAAACACAAAAAGTAGAAAATATTTGATGGAGAATATTCTTAATTCTATATATGACATATTTTAATATACTTGGCAAAAAATGTGGTTTGATTTTATTTTTTTTTTTTGTGAGTTTACTACGCGCGCACGCATAACTTTTTTATTTAAGAAATATGACTATTTATGCTAACAATACATTTACTTTAAACAAACATTTAAAAAGCAAGAGTTATGCTTAACAGTTTTATTTCTTTGATTATCATCACTATCTAATTTTTTCATCACTATCTATTTACGATAATAACAGTTCGAGTTTAAAACGTCTGGCATATTGTGTTCTAGCATTTTAAAACTTGCATACACAAGGATATATTTTTATTACATATTTATTACATATTTATCGCATATGTCGCGATAATCAATTCCTCGACGTTTCAGGAAAACCACAATCATCGAATATTTAAGGAGGTGTTTATTCTGTGTGAACAGTTTGTTGTAGCTCTCGTATATTGTCAAAGCGTCCGTTACTAATTATAGAACTACTTTTCTTTTCGTTCGAGAAGTATAAAAAAACCGACTACAGCTACCACAGTAGCTCAAACATCGTAGAGCTTGTAGTAATAGATAAATAAAAAATAAACTAGTGTCCCATATATATTTACAGAAATAACGCGGTATTGGCAAATGTAACGTAAACATTTAGAAAAGTAAAACTATATATTTTTTGCATCTGTAGAACAGCGAAATTTTCTACGGTAGATACTAAGGTGAGCCCGTCTTCTAAAATTGTGGATAATTGTATACGTATGTAATTGGTAATTTGACACGTTTGTTGGTGAGTGTTTCATTACAATTCTTTTTTTGTTCACGTAGCAATTATTGACATTCAATTGGTAACTTAAAACTGTTCCAAATGTTTATAGGGCGTATGAAAATGTATTTTATCTCTTCTGTGTTAAGCGCTCTGTGCGTAGGTATAATCTGTGTAATTATATCAGCATTGTACAATCAGTACATTATTAGAAAGAAACTCAAACGCTTTCCTCAAGTTCCCAGATGTCCCTTCATTGGCTCACGTTTAGAAGTATTTACAATATCGGAACATGGTAAAGAACTTCGCGAATACAATATTTCCAATATTTTAAAAGTAATATATATATTTTAAAAGTAATAAATTAAATGTGTACACACATACACATAAATACATTTAAAAGGTATGAAAGTTCCTTATTTACTCTAACTTAATATAAATAAATTTAGTCGTTTTTATGTACAGAACGCATGGGACGGATATTATCGAGAGTTAATGAGTATAAAGAAGGAATATTTGTGGAGTGGCACGGACTTGTACCATCAATAAACGTATTCAAACCAGAATTTTTAGAAGTAAGTAATGCAAATCGCAGCTTTAACATTCAAATATTAGCTATTATGTTTTATGATGACAAATTCAACTGAATTATATTAGTATATTTATATATACTTCATATATATGTAAAATATATCACCTGCGGAATATTGTCACACATTGTTACGTTCTGTTTGTCTTATTTATATATTATACACAGATAATTTTTCTCAATACTATAAATATTCAAAAAGGAACATCATATGAGTCTCTTAAACCCTGGGTAAAGAATGGACTTTTCGTTTCTTCAGGTAAACGCACAAATGTTTATACATACATATTATCTTTCAGCTTACTTTTGTTGATTATATCTTAAACTAATCTTAACTCTATATCTAAAAACTGTATTTTGAAATAATTTTTTTTGTAACATACGTTACACGTTCTACAGGACCGAAGTGGTTTCACGACAGAAAACTTATTGGACCAACATTCCATTTTAGCATATTAGAACGGTTTATCGACATCTTCTCTGAAAAATCAAAGATATTAACAAAGATGCTCGAAAGAGAACTAGAAAAAAATCCTGAAAAACCCATCAATGTTTTTCCGTTTTCTGTCAATGTGTCTCTCGATGTTATATGTGGTAATATATGGACCATTACGTTATAATTACATTTACGATCTCTTCTATATTAAATATGTATACCAATGTGTGTACCAATTAAGAATTGATCGCTGATATTCGTTACTATCTTATAATTTTTAGAAGCCGCAATGGGTGTGAATATACACGCTCAAGAGAGCGACAGCAAATATGCTTTACTATCAAAAAAGTTAGTCTAAAACATTTTGTATTTTAGTCATATTGTTAACAACAAAATTATAATTAAATGACGTTACTGTTTTTAAAGACCAGTACTGTGAAGCGCTAAAATTGACTTGCAAATGTAATGAAATTACTATTTAATTTATTAATATTTAGAGTCCTCGAAATGGCAATCCAGCGATTCCTTCGGCCGTGGTACACATCGGACTTGTTGTATTTTTTAACACCAACAGGAAAAGAAAATAAAGCAGTGTTGAATGGTCTGCATGAATTTTCGGAATCAGTATGTCACGTTATATTGTAACATCTCAATAAAGTATGTGCTTGTTTCTAGAAATGGAAATTATAGCGGATTTAACTATAATTTTAGGTAATAAGAAAACGAAAGATTGAACGATCGAAAACCGACTACGCCAATCTGAATAACACAGATAATGATAATACAAGTATGTGACAAAGTATTGTAAAATGTGCTTTAGCAGTTTACAACTAGGTTTTATTTAAGTATAAAATTTATTATTAGTCAAGCGGAAGAAGGTTTTTCTAGACGTGTTACTGGATCAGAACGAGAAGGACGATACCCCGTTAACCGATGACGAAGTGAGATCGCAGGTCGACACGTTTATGTTCGCGGTGAGAAAAAAAGAAAGACAGTGAATTATTTCGTTGGTTAGGCTGCATTTGGGAAGCTGCGCTATTTCATCAATTTATTACATATATTTATATATTTATAAATTTATACAATAATGATCGCGAGGATGTGTAAAATTATGTCCACGAAATTGTCCTATCGTTACCTTTAGTGTGCGACGCTGGATCGTCTGAATACTTAGTTGTGACTCTGAGATGAGCATTGAGCTTTATTCATCCTTTTTCTTGTTTTTATGTATTTATTTTTGTTTTTTTTTATCTGGTTAGGTAAAATACATATTGCCACCAGTGCAATATGTATTTTAGTTGTCTTATCTCGGCGCGCGAACACAAAATGAACGCGGCAAAACATCGAATAACCGGCGGTTTCGATAATAGCTCAATCTCAGAACCATTATATTACTATATTACTATTACTATATTACTATTACTATATTACTATTTCATATACTTATGTATTGTTAGTGTAAAAAAAACATTTAATAACAGGGTCATGATACAACTGCGGTAACAATAACGTGGACTCTGTTTTGCCTGAGCAACAGTTCTGAGCACCAAGAAAAAGTTCACGAAGAACTGGACAAAGTTTTCAAAGATCCGGACGCACCGATAACTATGAAGGAACTGTCACAATTGAAGTATCTCGATAGAGTTATAAAAGAATCGCTCAGATTATATCCAAGTGTGCCCATTATCTCGCGAAAATTAGTAGAGGATTTACAATTAGGTGAATATTTAAGCGACAAAAATGTTTTCAGAGATATAAGAGAATTCTTCTTTCTAAGATCTTCTTTGAGAATAAATATAAGACTCAGGGTTTGAATCATTACATTTCGTTTTGCTTTAGGTGACTATGTAGTGCCAAAAGATACGATAGTCGATATACCAATCGTATTGGTACACCGAAATCCAGAAATTTGGCCGGATCCTCTTAAGTTTGACCCAGATCGATTTCTTCCGGAAAACTCAAAAAACAGAAGTCAATACGCCTACATTCCGTTCAGTGCTGGACTGAGAAACTGTATTGGTCAGAAATTTGCTTTACTCGAACTAAAAGTTGTGCTATCGTCCATTCTCAGAAAGTGGAGAGTAAAAAGTGTCAAAACACACATTACATATAAGTGGTGTATCACTTATCATCCAGATGAAGAAGTACTTATTCATTTCACACCGAAAACTAATTAGTTCTTTTTACGAAAGTTGTTTAGTTTCTAAAGTACAATAATTCAAATGAGAGGATTGAGTTTTTCTACTGGTCGTTTCTACGTGTGACGAAAAGAGATATGTAAATAGAAATGTTGGTAAAATACAAAAAAAATAAATTTTGAATAGCATACAACACTGTGTGTATATAATTACAGAAAATAAATCACCATATAGAACAGAAAATGAAAAAGAGAATAATCGCAAAAACCTTCTCATTTACATTCACTTTTCACTCCGCTTTTAAGTACGTAAATAAAACACTGATTGCGTAAGTATATGTTTTATATTCTTTTTTATGTAATACCTTAATTATACTTATAATCACTTTGTGTCTCTTTCTTAATATTGTTGGACATTTAAAATTGTTATACCGATTGTACATCAAAGCCTGAAATTTTACATAATATAATATCATATATATATATATATATAATCATAAATATTCATAAATATTATTAAACATATATATTATCATAAATATTCGATATAGTGCTTATACATACCTAAGATAAGTTTTATGCGTCTGTCTTGCTTGGATTCCAACTGAGATAATCAACGCGAGTAGCGGCCTGGTATTCCTTCACTAAATATTCCACAATCTCTCGCGAGTTATCCAGTTCGTCAAGATTATCCTCAAACATTTTTTCTTTACGAAATTGTTCCAAAAATGCCTCTCGTTTACGTAATTTGTCATATTGTTGTAAAGCTCTATCAAACAGCTGAGAATATTTACCAACACTTTAATTTCGAGACGTTATTCAATAACTATAGCAATTGGCTCGGAAAATTGTATTTACCGAAGATATGTTAGTATGATTAGCCAGCATCAAACCAGATACTCGATGTGTACTTTGTATATAAGGAGACTTTCTCGAAAGAGCGACCTGTATGCTAGCCGGGCCCCAAGGAATAAACTGTGCAAGTTTTCGCTCTCTGATTCTTTGTAAAGATTTGTGCACTTGTGTCGGATCTATCTCGCCCTATTAAAAATATACATTGTACATATATATAGTGGATCTGTCCGTGTTACTTCTTGCAATTTTTGCACTTAGAATAAGACAAATATATGTTTACAATAATATTTCCAACCTGAATTATGTTTAAAATAGATATATAACAATGAGATGCATTTCTATCCAATGCTGTGGAAACCATCATATTTTTTGGTTGCAGCAATCGCCGCATTACATCCAGTACAGATGTTTTTCTTACAGATGCTCCCTGATTAAAACAAGATTTTAGAAGTATATTATATAAAAAAAAATATAAACAAATCTAAAAAGAGTATTATATATATTTTAAATCTTTAAATATTATAATAATTATATTTATATAATATCAAGTACCTCTTGATCCGTTGTGAGTGGAGTGTATCCAGTCATGAGGAAATGCAATCGAGGAGTCGGTATAAGAGGTGCTATCAAACCAACTAAATCGTTATTCATGTAGGAGGGATACCTTAGAGTAGTTGTACTAACAGACATTATTGTCGAAACAAGTTTATTAATTTGTGTGAAACTGGGATTTTGTATATGTAATCTATCTGAGGCAATCCTATTCAAAGCAGTATTATCTAAGACTACCACGCAATCTGCACACTGAGTCAATCTCTTCAATGTTAGCAAAGAATTATATGGCTGTACTACAACGTCACTGCAATGTGAAAACATTTATGTACAAATTAAATTTGTGTGTAAAGTGAGAATCTTTGTAAACAGTGTAATCATATATTTTTTACCTGATCTCATCTTGGTTTGGAAAAACACTGTATGTCTCAATTAATTTCTTAGGAAATCTATCAGCGAGAGATTCCAGCATAAAAGACCCCATGCCAGATCCTGTACCCCCTGCGATGCTATGGCACAAAACAAAACCCTGCAAAATCAGTGCTTGTTCAAAATCGTGAATTGGAAAAAAGACAAAATAAATACTTCAATAATGAATACAATTGATGTTAACAATAATTCATATCGACAATATTCTTACTATAAACTTAAATATGAGTCAAAACTCTCTATTCTTACATATTATTGTTACGTATTATTAAATAATCATGGAAATAAAGACAATATAATTACTTCCAAACTGTCACTACCATCAGCTTCTCTATCCAATATATCAAAGATCTCTTCTTGCAATTTTTCACCCTGGTGATATCCTGATGCCCAGTTGTTGCCAGCACCACCTCCATGTTTTGATAGATAAATATTTTCTGGATTATATAGCTAAAACCAGAGAAAAGAAATATAATAAACAAAAAATAAAAAATATAATTGTACTTACACGTAAAACTCTATATTATAATCAACTATGATGTAGAACAATATAAAACATGTGACAGATATGAGTAACAATAACATACTTTTGAATATGGAGAATTCATGATAGTGTGAATTACTCTGGGTTCCAAATCCAACAACACAGCTCTAGGAATATAGTGTTCATCATCTGATTGATAAAAAAATACATCTTTTCTATCAGTTCCTTCTGTTGCATAATCTTCCAAGATTCCTTCTGGACTTATTCCGTGCTCTGCGCACAATCTCTTCCAAAATTCAAATCCAACTACAAATATACACAAAAAACAAAATATAAATATACAATACTTTTTAATTTAAAAAATACAAATGTTTTCTAAATGCACATATTCGAGGATATTTTATCAATTACAGAAAGTTTTTGGGAAATCAAACATTGTAATCTCATTTCTTTGATATTGTTATGATAAGGTTTACAAATTACAGAATTTGTAACAGAAAAGAAACTTATATGTTTGAAGCAAAATATATATCGTTTAACTATTTACTTTGATTGCCGCATTGGCCAAGTTGCAGCGTTATCATTTCGCACGGCATTTTTGCTATTTACATTAATTTTCTCTAGCTGATGAGATTACAATTCCCTCCAATTCTGGACGCGCGAGAAACGTACAACCGAACAATTCAATTCAATGTCATCAAACAACTGAACACAAATTAAAACCATAGACAATATAGCGCGTAGATCGAGCGTCTTTTTTGTTTTGCCATACGTGAAAATTACTTTGATCTAATTCTCGTACGCCGCGATGTTCACGTTTTGCATACAATACGTTTTTGCAACTACACGTACAAACTCAGTGAATAAAAATACTATCTTCAATTTGGTTCTGTTCCGTGCTATGCTGCGCGTGTCGATTCGATATTTCAATGATCGAAGTGCGACATATATTGCTTTTCGATTATCGCGTTTCGATACATTCGAATTAGAGGACAGTTAGGGCCTGAGCACAATAGAGAAAATATTAGGAATAAGAATTAAAAACAGAAGTTAAATGTAATACACAATGTAATACACAATGCGAAAAAATAAAAAATATAACGTATAAATGTATACAACCATAGGCTGTATATTATGCAGCCATGACATACTTCCTGTATTTATATGTTATATTTTATTTCTTGTCATTGTATAGTACATTTAACTTTTATTTCTAATTCTTATTCCTAATATATTTTCTCTATTGTGCTCAGGCCCTTACGACGTATGTACATAGACGTACGCGCGACGCGGAGCCGCGATTACGTTCGACTTGTTTCCGTATTTCTAGCGATTATTATCTCGCGCGCAAATAATTTAGTTCGTACATGAGTCGTAGGAATATTTTTGTAGGAATATGTGTCATTGTTAAATGTATTTGAGTATATGAATTAATAGAATTAGTAAATTCCTATACAAGGGCTGCATTCGGACAGCGCGCTATCCGCACTATTGTCTCATCTATCTTTGTTTTACTTTGTTTTAGAATGATGCAATAGCGCGGATAGCGCGCTGTCCGAACGCAGCCAGGATATAAATTAGTAGTATCATGTCATATATAGTAAAAAAAACCGTATGTTGGAATATTTATAATTTATAAATATCTGTTGAATAATATTTCGATAATGTTCTGTAGAAATGAATATAGTTATATAAAATGATATTGTACAATGGTTGCAGCATATATTATAAAAATGTTAGCATGTGGTAGCTTTTTATGCACTTACTCTTTTTTGTTTCACTTTGGTTCTAAGTTCTAATGGGAATTGCAGAACCAGTGCGCGCGCATATAAAGCTGACGTTCTGACCTAACCGTTAAAAATCGTTGCCGGTGTAGTTAGAGAGATGAAAATCTGCATTGAGGTTATTTATCAATTCAAAAAGAGGATATAGTTTACCGAGAAGTTAAATTGTCCAAAAAGATGCTATGCCGTGATGGAATCCTCAGTCTGTGCTGTTTTATTGCAGCGGGATTAATTTCGCTTCTACCTGAGTTAGCGTTCAGGTTGGGATTTGATGTTTACACAGTGTACTTTACAGACACTTGGTCTTTACACGCGGCTCAATACATTTTTATAAATGTAATCGCACTTCTGGCATTTCGCGGCTTTGCTTATCAAGTAAGAGAGTTGTTGTTGTTATATTATTTTACTTTATTTCATATTTCACACTAAAAAAAAAAAAAACATTTTCCGTGCAGGTAGCGATAAGAGCGTTGTTGCTTGGATATGTCGTTGGAATTGGTATTCTAATATGGATTAATGCACCACCAACTTGGAAGATATTTGGAATTTATATGACAGTGCTGGCAAGCTTTCATTATTCGGAATTTCTAGCAATAGCTTGGACAAATCCATTGTCGTTGTCAATTGACAGTTTTATTCTCAATCACAGTGTGGCTTATGGTGCGGCGGCATGTCTGAGTTGGATAGAATTTTTGGTAGAAAGGCATTATTTTTGCGACATAAAACTGCCTTCACTTGCATCTTATTTTGGATTGATATTGTGCATATCAGGTGAGATCCTGAGAAAACTAGCTATGTGTACGGCAAAGCACAATTTTAATCACGTCGTGCAAAGTGAGAAACATGACAATCACGAACTTGTTACGCACGGTGTGTACAACTTGTGTAGACATCCTAGTTACGTAGGATGGTTTTATTGGTCTCTAGGAACACAGGTGAGACTGCGATTTTTTTCTTCAGGTGTGTCTTATGTGTTTCTGTGTGCTTTTATATCGTACTGTTGATCATTTTTTGAATCTTTATTGCAGTTAATACTTCAGAATCCGTTCTGCTTGTTTGCGTATGCAATAATGTCTTGGAAGTTTTTCTATGAACGTGTACTGATTGAAGAACTATCGTTGTTAACTTTCTTTGGTGAAGATTATGTTGAGTACCAAAAGAGAGTAGGCACTGGGCTTCCTTTCATCTGTGGATATAAAATTGATTCATAGCGTTCTGTATTATAACTATGAAGTTTATTTCAACAAGTAAAATTTTGTATGACATCTGTATTAACTCCCGGAGGAGTTTGGAGGGTTAATTGGACTAAAATTATATAAAAAATCATATACATTTGACATATTTAACATATTTTTAACATTAAAAGATAGCATTCGCACATCTGATAATTTTCATCAGTTACATTTCATCAATTCAGTCTCATTTCATGAGTTAAATATACTTTTACCTTGTGATATACAATTATCTGATGTTTTACATTTTCTAATCTTTTTTGTATGTGTATAAAAGTTATAAGTATTTAAACCTACGTATTTATTTGTGCAAAAAATACGTTTTCCTTAACGTAATAATTGTTACCAAACGGTAACACTATATGCAAATCTTTCTGTGTACATATAAGAATTGTGTAAATAAATCTTTGTAATAGTTTTCTTGTATATATTTGGAAATAAATTTTATCCTGTTTTTTTGGAAAACAAATTGTGTGTGTTAAAAACTTGCTCCGAGAGTGTGCGAAGTATAAAACTTGACGAATACACACACGTTTTATTTATATATAAATACATATAATATATCTTGTGTGTGTGTGTAATTTTATTTCATCTGTCAAGTTTCATACTCAATTATATAGATCGTAGGTACAGACAGGATCTCTGCGAATCTGCAAACCAAATTAAAGAAATGTAACAATACACAATTTGTTAGCAAAATTATATTTATTGTCTCATTTTCTTTGAAGAATTATTATATAACAATAGAGTACATTTATTTATTTTCTACGGTAGATACTTTCAATAGGATTATATATACGGAGTGAAACAATACTAGATATTATCATCTGAAATGTCATTTTAAAAATAAGGTGTTCTGTTCTGGTGAGAGGATGTTAGTGATCTCAGTTATATACAACTCGAGAATAAAAAAAAAAAAAAAAAAAAAAAAAAAAAAAGAGAAAAAAAACATTTCAGAGATCGAAATATTTGTCGTTGCACTCTGTACATATAATGCAATTTATACATACATACTGTGATATTACGTAACTAATTTGCATGAACATTCAAAAGCGTTCATTCGATGTCGGAATATGGTTAAAGAATGTTAGAATATAATACAAGCATATATAAGTGTTTTTCTTTCTGTACATGATCATTTACAAGTGTGTTAATATAATAAAATCGTATAGCAGACGCGTAGACAAACTTCCACGAGAGCTATGATACACTAGTTTATTTCGTGTGTCACACTTTTTAAATAAAATTTCGGAAAAGCAAAAAATAAAAATTTCAGTAAAAATTTTATTAAACAATATTTCTAATTCGTTAATCGGATGTGATGACAGATTGCACACATTTTTAGAGCAATAAAATGTCGAATGACGCAATAATAAACAAATTAGTACTTTGCAGTAAATTCTATATAAGAATTTTAGAGAATAAAAAATATATAAGTAAGAATATACAAAAATATATATAAAATTATAGAAAATTTATAAAGTAGACGATATATATATAGAAGAAAAATCAATACTTGCATTGTGCCTTCAAGGCTTCTAGTATATTTTTAATAGTTATATATGTATATATTAGAGATATGTTTTTTGTATATATTATATATAAAAAAAACTTACAAAATGAATATTGCACGAGAGAAAACGTATTTAGATTAATTATAGTAAATGATTATAACGAATTATATAATAAACGAATTTAGATTGAAAAAAAAAAAAAAAACACGTGATTTTACTGCTTAACACAAAAATACGATATAAAATACGTGATTTAGATAATAGGTAATGTAATATATTGCACTTTTTTGAATAATATTCTCAATAATGATCAATCTACTTGCGCAAATATTTGGCGATCGAACAATACAATTACTTTCAAATTGTACATTTTACTTTCATAATGTCTTTAATATATTAGACAGTGTATTAGAGAACGCTAATTATACTGTTTGCCATATCTACGCATGTTTCTCATCATATCTCTCTTTCTCTCTCTCTCTCTCTCTCTCTCTCTCTCTCTCTCTTTATTCGGTATAAATTTCATACACAAGTATAGCAGCACACATTTTACCTACGCCAATTCTTACTCTATCGTGATTTTCTCTCATGTATACTTTTTAATTATTTATAATATATCACGAGAACTTAAAAATTCTCTCCTTAATAAGAAAGTTCGATGATGCTTCGGTTACGCGCACAATAAATTTATTCACTTCATATACTTATTTATTCTTGATTATCGATCTATTGCATTAAAATCACATGTAAGCACCTACACATATACGATATAAATGATAATATTTATTCATCATGGTATGAGTGCAATCTAGATTTTGTGAGATCAATGCTTATCAATTCTTTGATTATTTATGTTATTTCTTTCTTCGGAGAATCTCTTATCTTTTTTCACGACGATTCGTGACATTTAGCAATCAATGTTGAGGAGTAATGTTAACGTACATATATGCACGTACGTGTTTTTTTTTTCCCGCCAAACCGTAAGATCTCGATGTCTCGCGTAGAGAGAGAAAAAGACGTTAATTGTTTTTCTCCTAATGTACGAAATGGTTTTTGGCTGTGACGATAATTTATTGTCGTAATTGGTAATACATACGAGGGAAACATCATAATCTTATTAAGACGCTTTGATTACACTCATACGCTAGTGAATAATAATTTTATTCCTCATGCACGAGATGCAAAATCTGTTTCATCATCGTGTTTATTTTTTTATTTTATTTTTTTTCATTTTTTACTTTTTTTTAACAATAGGAATAAATCAATATTTATATATATATGGCAGTGAAAAATTATAGACTCTATATGTCTCATCTAACGGATTTTTTTCCATCTCATCAGTCGCTGCGTCTGTACTGTTCCGTATAATCCTCTAGCTGACTAAAAAACCAAAAATGCCGCTAAGCTTGTCGATTATTTAAAAAAATACGGTAAAGGCAAACAAGAAAAATATCAGGAAATGTAAAATCTATGTATGTATATGTATATATTGTTTTTTTTTTTTTTTTTTTTTGTTCATTCGTTATATTCAACGAATTGAACGATATCTATCTTGTCGTACAAATAAAGCGGTATAAAACGTTATAGTTATACTTCAATTATAAAATATTAATAGCAATATATTAGTGCGGTTAGACTTTGTATATAACTATATGATATAAAATTGTTTTTTTTTTGTTTTCGTTCACTTTCAAAACTCGTTCGCTTTCATACGTGTGTCTCTCTTTCTTCACATTTTTTTGTCCTGCTGAAAGTTGCTCTCGTAATAGATTTTAGTAAAATCAGATAAATGCGCTAAATACTTACGTTGCTTTACTTTTTCGATTTTTTTTATTTTTTATTTTTTTTATTTTTTTATATCCGATAGAACGTTCGAACCAAAATTCATCTTATTGCAACTGAAAAGTGTGAGAAGTCTCGAAATTCACACAAATTGTTCTCTGTCGTCAAACGTTTGATTCAGCTACCAACATCAGACTTGCTTTTGATCTTTCATAATTGTCACGTGTTCGTCGAAGAAAACATCAGATTTGGCGTTAACACACTCATTTACATTCATTTTTCATCATCAATGATCGCTCGCGACAACAATACTTGCGCGTTTCTTACATAAGTGCATCTCTTTCTCTTTAGTAATATCCGTCGAGGTCACCACGTGCTGTAGATCTATCAGTTCGATTACTGTAAAATAAACAAGACAACATTTCAGAATTTATAAATAATCAATAGCGAATAGTTATGTTACGTAAAAAAAAAAAACAATAGCACACTACAGCGTGCTATTTACGATGGAAAAAAAAAAAAAACAAAAATTATATTTGCGTAGTGTTAACATACCGTAGTAGTTTTGCCGCGTTACTTCCGACGTCGGTTAAGCGTTAAATAATTTACAAATTTATTAGCTGTACATGTGTTGTATGCAAATTTTTCTCGCGGAAATACACATCCCTCGCTCGGACAAAAGCGTTTACTGTACAATTTTCGTGCTCGCTCGGACAAAAGCGAATCTCCAAAGTAAGATATGTGTATTTCCGATAATTATATATATAAGGTAAAAGAGTCTGATGTCTCGCATATAAATACTCTGTATATATATTATTTAGCTCAGTAAGCCTTTGAGAACGTTAACCGCGTCTACGCACAACAGCGTGAAAAGTACACTTTGTTCCTTAATATCTCTAGTCAAAGCGATTAGATTTTGTAATATGATCAACAACGAGTAACTCGTTATGTCGTACGCGGCTAAATTTGACGCGGGTTTCGGATGAATAATGTTCACCGGCGGTGGCGGCACAAACGCATCGAATACGTCCGCGTCCGCATCCGTGAATACTAACGAGGATGGGATCCATCTTACTCTGAATAGCGTGTAAAATATCCACACAGCGAGATTAGTATTGTATTATTTAAACAAAAAAAAAAATTTTTTTTTAAATTATACATACGTATTATTTAAATAATTTCAAAATAATTTGAACACGTTACACACGTTTCTGATGTAGTTCCGCGTTTTTATTTGACGTGAAAAAAATTTTAAATGTTCGAATTATATTGAATTATTTTATTTTTATATTATTGTCTATATTTTATTGTTCAAATAATTTGAATTTCAATTAGTATTTTGATCGAGTTACTTGAAATGAATTGACTTGAAAATTCCGTTAGATCCTCAAGATTATATTCTTTTCACACAGATTTCTTTTTTATGTTTCGTTAATGTTACTTACGCCACAGCTGTACGTCTTACCTGATGCACGGCGAGACGTTTACTCCCCTGATAGCCTTCTCGCCGATATTAATAGCTCCGGAATCCTGCACCTCCAGAGTGTAAATGCAACCGGAGAATCCGTCGTGATACCTCCCGTAAGTCATCGCGTAATCCGGTAAACCGCCCAGATAAACGTTGCCTCTCGCGTTCAGAATCTGCTGAAGTCCGTCGCTTAAACCGCTCTCGGTGTGTTCGCCGTTCAGTTCGATGCTACCGTCGCTACCCTGACGTTTCAGAATTATTCTGTGTCGTTCCCCGTCATCAACGCGCTGAGCGGTGACGCGAATAACGGCCGGACCGGAACCCAAATTGTATTGATATTCTACGTATCTGTAAAAAAAACAAGACAATGTTAATTCTTTCTCTCTCTCAAAAGAGTTTCTATAATATTTCAAAAAAAACTAGATCAATCAAATTCAAAGATGTTACTTACCCATCTACTACAGCGACAGCGATGTAATCGTCGGGCGTCAGATCGTTCGGTGTTTGCCCATGCCACATGATTAATCCGTTGCTCTTGTTGGTACTGATCTCGAGGCCTAGAACTTCGCGTTCTTCTTCGTGCGTCATGACGGATCTGTCTAGTTCCAACCATCCGTCACCCCTGAAAGCGACGTCGTACGTGATCTCAGCCACTGCAAAAATATGATACATTACAATTATTTATATAATTTTATTTATTATAAGAATATATTTATTAATTAATATTTTCATAAAGTATATGAACAAGTATGTATTTGAATTATTTATACTTGGCTGAAAATGATCGAAATACAAAAGATCGAAATGTTCTAACTTTATTGAGAAGTCAATCAATTTAATTCTACTAATTTATCACAATCTAATTCTATTAATTACTACCTCCGGACTAGAGCTTTCAGATCTACTTTATTTTTGAATTTTTATTTCATATTATTGATCTTGTTTGAATTTGTTTAAGGTATATGGCAAAGTTAATATTTTTTTGTTTTAATAGAGAGATTGGGGATTGCAAAATTAAGTGATTGTTAAAAAAAAACAAAATACCGAATTAATTTGTACACTTAACGTACATTTTTCACAGTTCAGTCCGTTGTAACCGAGACGACAGTCGCACTTGTAAGATCCGTGAAGATCGATGCAAGAGCCGCCGTTTCTGCACGGCGTCAACACTTCGCACTGCTTCACCACGTTCTCGCAGTTACTACCCGCGTATCCGTAGTTGCATTCGCACGAATAATCGTACGCGTTTGATCTTTGACAGACCCCGTGAATACAAGGGCTCGATGCGCAGGGATTAAACGGTGTCGTTGGCGGTTGCGTAGTCGCCACCGTGGTAGTGTGAACCGTCTGATTCGGATGAGGCGTCGAACAGTCCTCGATATTAGCCGCGTCGATCGCCGCTTTCAATATGTCCACGCTGGTCGTCGAAAGTTCGAGCTATTGCGCCGAGGAATTTAAAAGACGGGGTAAAATAAAATTCCTCCCGCTTTTTTTTTTTTTAACTTCGAGTTTAAATAATAAAAAATTGAAAAAAAGTAAAAACAATTATCAATAATCTTGTTAATAATTTTCTCACCTCAGATACGCAACCCCTGAAGTTTTGATCAATACCGACTTTTTCGTTGACGGTAATTCTTCTGCGATCCACTCCTCCGATGTAAAGGGGTGTGTTTAGCGTCATGGTCTTCGAAGCACCTGGTGTTTTGCCTTCAACAACCGGCTGATCGTTAACGGTTAATTTGGCGTCCTTGAAATCTCGATTCACCGTCACGCGCGTCCATAAACCGGGCTGAACCGCCTGGGGTGATCTTATCGTTGCCATTCCGGAACCGATATCGTAACGAAACTCGACGTGCTTGTCCTTTATTATCAGCGCTGCAAAATCTCCGAGGCCTTCGTCACTTTGAGAACAATACATCAGGATTCCGTCCCCGGAGTCCGCGGGATTAAAACTCATGGCTACCCTTAGCCTAAAATTGGTCACAAAGATAAGATATAAAAATGCCTTTTTTTTTGTTTTTTATTCGTACAAGAAAAACAACTTTAAGCAAAGTACGTGTGTACGCGGTTTTATTTTGTTTTTATTTATTTATTTGTCGCAAAAACCGGAATTCACACACTCGCACACGTGTTCGCTTCAATTCTCGTTGACCAGCAAAATATTTTTATAACTTTGCAATATTTGTTCGACTTTTTTGTTTTTTCTAATAAAAACATGTTATCTCAAAATCGTTCTAACGGCATTTACATCTCGTGTGTCATTGAAATCGGGAATTTGTGCAATTAATGTAAGTGTATACGGAGTTATTTTTTTCTTTAACAAAGATGATTTCGAGGACTATATAAAGAAAAAGTGCAATTGAAAGCTTTCGTAGTATGCAATACATAAAAAAAAAAAAATACAAAAGCATTGCTACAAGCGATACTTCGAACAAAACAGACGTACCGCGCACACCCACACGAATAATGTTTTGGTCTTGAAACTTACCTTTTTCAAACGCATGCACTTCTACGTGGCGACGAACATAAACTTAAATTAAAATTGCTCGACTTACATTCACACTTTCGTTTTATTTGCTTTAAAAATATTTATTCGTATTATAGCATGAGTCCGCTGAGTATATAACGATTCGTTCTCGCACGTGACAAAAACACATTTTTATATATAATATATATTTATATATAATATTTATACGTATATAGAATATATGTATAATTTCTCAGATGGGAAAGGGGAAGAGCACGTAAGTACAAACATTTTACATATGCTGTCATATATAACTGTCATATACAGGTATGCGATTATATTATTATTATTATTATTATTATACGGACTTTGACATTTTTCTAAGCTTGAATCAGGGGGCAGAACTACCAGTTAAATGCAACTGATTTGGCAGTGACTTCACGTATGACTTTTAATAATTAATAAATGACTAAAGAGTGACGCGCGTTGTAATGTATTAATTAAAGAAGCTGTACAAAAAAACATTAATTACTAATTTGTTGACTGACTGATGTGTTCCGACGTTTTACAGCATCCGTGACAACATTCTGTGTTACAAAGAACTACGCACTACGCAGGCACGTTGCAAAATATCTTGTTAAAAAAAAAAAAAAAAAAAAAAAAGAATTCATTCATCTTCCTTTTAACGTAACCATCGCCACTACACGTAATCAAACAGAGAAAAAGAGGCAGTGAGAAGTTGCACAAAAAAATAATAATAATAAAAAATAATAAATTGAACTAATTAAAATTCTCTCGCGTAAACATACATATCTTTAAAACATTTTTTAAATATAGCTTCGTACATATACATATATATATATATATAAAATATATATACATAAATTTTATATTTATATTTATATATATATATATTTATATATATTTATATATAAAGGAGTAATTAGATCTACAAAGAGAAGTTTTATTATTGCTGTGATTGGATAAGTAATGACTCTCTAAATGCGTTTAAAATTGGTGCTAGGTCTGGGCTAATGTTTTGTGTGGTGCAAATTATTGTGGTGATGTGGCCTTGATCGTGGTTTCCTAACTTGTGCGTTGCGTAATCGTGATCGACTGTGTGTAGTAGTAGTGGTCGAACTCTCTCTTTCCCTGAAAAGAAGTTTAGTAATTAGGATGTTTGAGGATGTCTAGATGAGCTCGAGATTTAGTACCTATCTTCCACATTTTGTCGCCGAAAATCCATTATAATTCGAGTTCAAAAAGCGTAAATTTGTAACATGTTAACGTGTAATTTATGAGAAAATAACATTTACAGATATTACTTCTAATTATTTCTTATTATATTTGTGAGAAATATATTTCTAGTTTGTCATTACATTGAAATTCTCTCGAATTACTCCGCGTAATATTACTCGTTTTTAACAACTGCACAATTTTGTCATTACTCGATATCTGAAGTCTGATATATCAAAGACAACGCGTATTTGTTATTTTTACATTCGTTCCGCATTCGCAACGAAATTTCTCTTGATTTATTCGTTTTTTTTTTCTACGTCTTGTAAATACACACACGATGTGTGAAAATAAATTAAATTATTTAAAACTTAAAACATAATAAATAAATAGGACACATACAACCATTGTGACAATGTGTTCGATCCTGTGCGCTTGCGACATCGACTAAGAGCAATTAATTAAGTGTGATGCGTGCACGTTCATTAAATATAATACGTTTAATCGAGCGTGTGTGCGTAAACTCACCGTCTAAGAGCTTTCGGAGTTTCGTGCGCGAGGAAAGCTCTGTCGTCATGGAAAGCCGGGTCGTAGATATTCACCGAATGCTCGCATCGTGATCCTGTTTTCCCGGGCGGGCAGTAACAGTCAAAACCGGTTTCCTTGTCCACACATGTACCTTCTCCGCAAGCACCTGATATTATCCGATACACATATAAATTTTTAATAAATTTATTTTGCTATGTTTCTGTGTCAATATGCAATTTTTTTAGTTTTTGAAAGAACTTTTAGAAACAACAACAATCGTTTTATTTTTATCATCGATTAGTTTGTTTTTGCGAACGTGTATTTATTATGAAAAAAAAAATGTTCATAATTTTTCACAAACAAAAATGTAAATAAACCGCGAAATTTATTATTGATTTTACATTAGCGAATGAAATAGCGGATTGTGTCCTAAATCAGAGATAATAGATTTATATTAGGCGTCTGTGTACCCGGGTAACAGGATTGGCCGACGTTGTCGCAGTGTTTGCCGCTAAAACCGGCTCGGCACAGGCACGTGTATCCGTTCTTTGTGGCCGCTTCCTGACACACACCGCCGTTGTGGCAAGGATTCTCGGCGTGGCAGGTCTCGCAATTCGTGATTCCCACGCTCCCGGTTTGATTGCCAATTAGATCGACCTGCTTCTCGCCGAGAACCAGGCGGCTGATACACCCGACGAAGCCTGTGTTCGCCTCGACTTGTTTGTCGAGCCTGTTGTAGTTCGGAACCCCGCCGATATAAAGAGGTTCCTTCAAATCCAGACCTTGACGTCTGCCCACGGCGACCACTTTGTAAGGACCCTCGCCGTCGACCAGCATCGTCGCCTCCTTCCGATTGCGTTGGATCTTAATGGTGTGCCACTCGCTCAACGTAACAGGTTTGTCCGCGTTGATGGAAGCTGGCCCAGAGCCGAGATTGAATCTGTTGAGACGGTCGGCAATTGCGTTAACATGTTACTCGCAAAACGCTGTAGATGTAATGTTTTCTCAACGGTATGACGGTTTTATTTACTTGAATTGAGGATATCCGTTAATCAGAGACAACACAATGAAGTCGCCATTGCCGTTGCCGAATTCGTCGTTGTACAATAAAATTCCGTCGTAACTCTCCGGTTTGAAAGATATCTCGATGTTAAATTTGAGATAGGAATCCGGCAGAGGTGGGAAAGCGATGTAACTTCCGGGTGCCTGACTGAAATTGGGCACGACTCCTGTCACAACCAGCACCGTCGGCACTTCCCTCGTTTCCTGTCCGTTATTTCCAACGCAAATGTACGTTCCGGCATCCTCAGCCTTTACGTTTGTCAACTTCAATTGATTCTATGCGCACAAAACAAAAAAATAATACATGTAAGCACGTAAAAATACGTGTAACGCGACATCTTCTGAGATTCGACTAGATGTTGTCTAGAAATACATGTTTGACAAGATGTACGGGGTTTTTTTTTACCTCCGAAATCTGACTGTCGTGTGGCAGGAGTCCTCCAAGCTTGTTCCAGCGGAATTCTATCGGCGGCTCGAGATCAATACTGCAGTCCATTTTCACACTTGATCCGTACGGAGCGTATTTAGTTTCGATTGCTGGTTCGTCGTGAATTCCACCTGAGTAACAACAGACGGTGATATAATTTTTTTTTCTCTCTCTCTCTATTTTTTATTCAACAAAAATGCTACAAAATTGCTTTATAACTTTGCTGATTTTATACTTACACAATTACATAATCCAGATAGACACAAGAGAGCATTGGCAAAGAATTAAAAATCATTTTAATATAAAAATTATTTTTATATTAAAAGAAGAAAATTTTACGATATGTTAAAAGGTTTTACTGATTTTATATAGATGTGTGTGTGTGTTATTATTTATGCACATTTCTGAAATGATTATACCATGAACGACCAGGTTGATGTCCTTTTCGAATGTGCCCTCGGAAGTGTCCACTGTACATCTGTAGGGTCCGCTATCGATAACAGCTACATTTGTCAGCCTCAGGATGCTGTCGTACTCTTGAGCGTTTTCCGGCAGATTCACGTGGTTCGGTCTTGACCAGCGATAACGCGGAGAACCGCGCGTCCCGGTGCAGGTGCAGTGTATGTCGACTGTGTCGCCGATGTTTATCGGATCTTGAGAGACTTCGACACTTACCAGAGGCAGCGCGGCAGCTAGAATTGAATTTACGTATGTAGACTACACACGTTTTGACTTGTTTGAAGAATGAAGAAAAAACATATATCCCTTTCTGTGTTTTGTCGCTTATCGCGTAACACAACAAAACAGACTTTGCAACCTTCGACCGATCTCTGAAAAAAAAAAAAACGCTAAAGTCCGTTCGACGTGGTTTTGTTCTTTAACTTTGTGTTCGCGAAAAATTCGTAATTTCGACATTTTGAAAAAATCAGGCAATCTGATAAATAAAAAAATATTACGCGCACTGACGAAAACTATTTTAAGTAAAATACTTTTAGGTAAAGTAAAATTTTTAACTCTTTTACTTTTCCAAAAACATTAATAAAATACTTGTTGTTCAAATAAAGCAAAAGTTGCAAAAGGAAAATATAACAAAGAGCTATTTGATTTGATCAAAAAGTTCGTAGACATATTTTAGCACAGTATGCATATAACATGAAGAGAGTATATAAAAATTTGAAGAGTATATCAATTCAAACATATATATACTTCGTGCTGACAAGGACAGAATACAAATGTGCCACACTTCAAACGCAATCGGTGTGAGGAGACAAAGGGCTAAGGGTTCCGATTCCCCTCACCCGCGGTTATACTTTATCACTCTCTAGATGTGAAACAAAGATAAAATAACACTCGTATGCGCTCGAGTGGGGAATCGAAACGCACGCCGCAAGAGTGCGTGACATCTTACGGGATTTTTTGTTCTTTATATTCGGTTTTTTTTTTTTGGTTTTCGTTGCTCGAAATCTGAACGAACGCGCAAGAGTTTGGCTTGAAAATCGTATTCTTTCCTTGCAAGTCTTACACAAGTACAAGCTTAAGAAGAAATAAGGACAGTTCACTACGAGTAGAAGTACTACGGGACGACACACAACACACACATATATCTCAAACAAACCGCGTCGTCTCTGAAGGTATTGGCGATAGAGCGATCTGCGGCAGAAGCGTTCGTCAGTACCGTCGTCGCAGTGACTATAGCCGTCGCAAAAGAATTCCACCGGAATGCATTGTAGGCTTCTGCATTCATACTCCCAGTGCCTGCACTTCGATCGGAACACTGGCATGCAATCCGCAAGCAAATTAACTACTAAATCATAACGCGAGTGTTGTAAAAAAGAAACCTAAACTCTTGTGAAGGCGTTCGTTAAGCCACGTTTGCTATATAATTTATAATTGTGTGTAATCTCATTATTATTATTAAAAAAAAAAAAATAAATAAATGCCCGAGCTACGCAAAACGGCGAAGAGAAACGTCTGAAGAATTTGCACAGAACGTTCTCTCCGATAATTATCGTTAATTATCTTTCGCCGTGTTTTTACGTTGCTCGGGCAATCAATCTGATACGCGTTTTGTTAATGATGTGAAATGATGCGATGAATTAGTGCAAAACTAGAAAATTATTCTTTGACATATAAATCGCGAAAGAGATTTAGAGATCTATAAATAATTATTGTTTGTTTTTTTTTTATCTTTACTTAAAGTCTGATAAAAATAATTTTGTTGCTGATTTTTTTATTTTATTGTATTTAAGGCAAACGTGGAAATGAGCAATTTCAAGCCGATCAAGTTCTGAGCGAGAAGTTGAAATCTTTTAGATGATCTGAAAAAACAACGTTCTAGTGTTTTAAAAAACGCGCAAAGATATATAGCAAACAAAATATTTGGGAAAAAAACGAAGCAATTTGTGATTTAATCCTTTCGGGAGTAAAAGATAATGTAAATACAATATATGTGTGTATAAATAAATACATATATTTAAATATATATATGTAAATCGCACTTTATATAGAGTTTGTGTTGACTTGTTTGTGTATAATCCCGAAATGATTAAAAGCGAAATTAAGATTTTGAAAAAAAAAAACAGGCGGAACATCATTTGTAGCTATGAATATATCAAAATATATCGCAGTAAATCTTCATTAGATGCATTCTGACAAAAGCAAGGATTCTTACGAAGTGAATGGAGAAAAACGACGAGATTTTATAAGTGATAACGGAGCGTGACACTTACGGGAAACGTTGAAATTAATATAATCGCTGGATACACCGCGGCTGGTTTGAATCTCGCAGATGTATCTCCCGCTGTCTTCCGGTCTTACTTGCGTTAGTTCCAGATAATTATCGCCGATTCGTCCGGTGATCGGCAGGGGTTGTCCCTCTCGTCTCCAATAGATCGAGGCGCGTTCGCCGTGCACTTCGCAATGCAAGCGAACGGTGTTGCCGACGTGCGTCACGATGTCTCTTCTCTCAGACCGAATTCTCGGAACGTCGTAAGAATGTTCTGCAAGTCGGAAATGTTGATTCGAATTTTTTTCACATAGCGTATATTTAATAAAGTGTTTTAAGACATATTTTTTTTTCTTTTCAGAAATGTTCGTCTCTGTTGATCTTAATTAAATAATGTGATTAAATAATAACATCCTCTTTTACTTTTCGTTTTCTTATATAAAATATTACATTACATGTAAGAGAAAACGATGTTATTTTTTCAAATGTAAATTCATTTAAACGGTTGTCTAACTAACCGTTAACCAAAACTTCCGCGACCGCTTCCGCCGTTCCCGCTCCGTTTGTCGCTTTGCACACGTATTTGCCGGCATCGGAGTAGGTGATGCCGTGGAATTGCAAGACGCCGTCTCTGTGCGACACCGAATGCGGCAACGGACGTTCTATAGCTTCCCAAACGATGCGCATGGGTTCGTCTCCCGTGGCGGTGCAACTTATGGATGGATTTTCGCCAGGTCCCACCGTTTGACGCGTGGGATTCAATTCGATCCTCGGCGGAGCTGCAAGAAGAGCGTCAAACGAATTAATTTTGCGTTAATTCCATCTCTCTCAGATTCTCCGCGCGATATCGATAGGTGAATCGAAAAAACAATCGAATTTCTTTACAAAGTCCGCAAAAAATCTTCAAAACTTGTTGTATTAAGTTTTAATTATTGTTTTCCGCATTCGTTCACTCACATATGATTTCGAGATGAGATTTCGCCCTGAAGAGAACGTTGCCGAAGGGATCCAGGCCCAGACAGATGTATTCGCCAGCCGCGTTTCTGTCGACGGTCGGAATGCTCAGTACTCCGCTGTGCACCGTGCTGCCGTCCGGCAACGGACGATGATCGCTCCTCTTCCAGTCCAAGTAGATCTGATTTCCGTCGGGCCCGAAGACCTGGCAACGCATCTCCACCTTGCCGCCGTTCGGAATTCTCAGGTAATCCTCGGGAATTTTCACACCTCCTCCCTGGTGGGGCTGGTTCGGATCTCTCTGTGAGAATTGAACAACGTCGTCACGTGTCAGACACGCACGTTAAAAGTGAAATACGATATACAAAAACAAATAAGAGATTTTATACGCACAGAATCCGGACGCGATGGTCGATCGCGATCGTCGTCGCACGGAATGTCGCCTCTGTCGCCGTTGCATTCGTAATCGTCGTCCTCGATACGAATGTGAATACGTTCCTCGGTTATTCCCACGGCGTTCGTCGCCTGACAGGTGTAAGTTCCTTCGTCGTCGGGCGAGACGGAGAATATTTCGTACACGGCGCTCAAAGGAGTCGCCGCTGTTCTGCTGTATTCGCTGTAAATTGAGAATACGCAAGTCGCAGTCGGTTACGCGTAGAATGTTCAGGGGTTTTTCGTCTTGTTAAATTTAATTTTTTGGAGATTTTTCTCGAACAAATTTGTTTTAACTTGTTTTATCTTGTTGCAATCGCGAACTTATTTAATTGAACTACTAATATACATAAAAGGACCAGAAACATGATTGAAACGTTGATTACATTTTGTGTTCCATGTGATTTTTTTTTTTTTTTTGCTTAGAACGTCGCACGATCGAAAGATCAACTTACTGTATGGTGAGTCCGTTCAAGTGTTTGCTCCAGGCTACGTTCGGTTGCGGATAACCGCTCGCGCTGCAGACCAAACGCACACGGCTGCCGCGTTTCACTTGCAAGATACCGAGCTTCGGCGCGATCGTGATCACGGGCATGGACTGTACCTCGATGTGGGCGATGACCGACGTTGAACCGACTTCGTTGGACGCGGAACAGATGTAAGCACCCCCGTCGTTCACCGTGATATTCGACAGTCTGAGAAGACCGCCCGGAAGTTGCTCGACGTTCGAGCCGAGCGGACGGTTGTCCTCGCGAGACCAGTGCAACTCCGGCACCGGGAAACCGGCCTTCGCGCGACACTGCAGATCGGCCGAACCGCCGAGGGTTACCGTTTGAACGTCTTGGGGATACAGTTCCAAGACCGGAGCTTCGCGACCTGCAAAATAAACGCGCGATTGTCTTTTTCGCAATTTCGGATTTTTGAAATTTCACAAATGAGTAAACTGAGAGTAATTCATAGATTCGAGATTATAAATTAAACGTCTCTTGAATGAATTTTCGAATTGAAGTCAATTTGAATTTTCAAGTGTATTAATTTTCACACGTTTAAAAATGTATAATCAGATATCGATCTTATATGAAGGATTTTTTTTCCCGAGATATATGTTTTGCGAATTTGACATCTTGATTTATCAATTAATTAATTAAAGAATCTTTAAGGCTCCGAAGTTTCCAAACTAATAAATATATATTCGGTCATGAGAGCCGTTCGCTAGGTGTTGTGCGGAAATTATACGTGTATATACATATATACATATATACGTGTTCACGTGTAAATTTTTACACGTGAAATTCGAATTGTAATAACAATTCTAAAATTCATATAGGATGCTATACTTGCATCTCGTATATGAGAGATCCTAAATACCCCCCTAATTGAAATTAAATTTATATTGCGAAAAAAACTCCTCAGCCAGGAGTCGAACCTGGAATCTCCGGCTTTCCGTGCCGTCGCCTTTCCTATTCGGCATTATTAATCTTGATTTATATTTTTTTACTCAAAAATTTTGATACTTCAGAAGCGTGTCTTTCGGAATATTTAGAAATATTACGGAACTTACGTTCAACTTCGATAATCGCGCTGGCCTCGTAACTGCCCGCGGGGCTGCTGACCCGACAAATGTACACTCCTCGATCGGAAACCTGAGTGTTGACAATTCTGAGTGTCTCGCCTACTTGTTGCACGCGCGGGCTCATCGCTTCCATGTGCTTGCTCCATTTTATCTGCAGATTCGGCTCGCCGCTGGTGATGCACCGCACCTCGGCCACCGTGCCCTGGGACACGTGCTGCCGTTCGGGTCTGACCTTGACCGTCAAAGGATCTCTGCGAGGTACTATCGTTATTCGGACGGTGGTGCTTGTTTCCGTTCCGCGGGCGCTCGTCGCGGTGCACACGTATATGCCGGAGTCGCTCGGGGTGGGATTCGAGATGGTCAGAACCCCGTCGCGCTGAGTGGCTGAATAAGGCAGTGGCAATCCGCCGGATCTTGCCCAGACGACGGTCGCGCGCTGAGACGGCGTGCAGGTCAGTTTGACGACGTCCGAACTGGTTCCGGACCACTCGGACGGTGTCACGATGGGCGGTAAACCCGTAGGAGGTGGTTTGTGAGGATTGTCTGTGATAAACCAAAATGTTCTTTTTTGTAAAGCAACATTTCTCGCAGCGCTATAGAGCAATTTGCTAATGCAAGATTCTTATAATTTGAAACAAAAAAACGGAAAAATCGCTAAATAAATTGCGACAAAAAATGTAGCTAACTTTGATCGCACCTTGAACATACAAGATCGTCGTCTTCTCGTCCGTGCCAATGTTGTTTCTAGCGATGCACTTGTATTCGGCAGCGTCGTTCTTCGACGCGGCCGGAAGACTCCACACGCCGTTGTAGAACGTCGCTTCCGGACTTATGTTTCTCGAATCGTGTACTCGAACCCATTCCAATTGCGGCGGCGGATTACCCGTGGCCTCACAACGAAACTCGACCGGATCGCCTTCCTTCACTTGATGATACGGTGGACTTATAGTGACTCTGGGCGCTACCGAGGTGGATCCTTAGGTAACGAGAATGAGATTTTATTATTCACAAATAAAATAATAACGAGAGGCGACAGGTTTTGGTTCAAAGCTAATCCAATTTAAATATTTAATTTTAACGGCAAAAGCAATTTATTATTTATGTTTACACGAACGATTTCAAGCGGTTACAATTTGTACCTGGTATTTGCAGCAAGTGTTTCGGGAACGCTGCGTCCGTTATAACACGATGTATAAAAAATTAAATCAACAGATAACACAGTTGAGGTTTTAATTTACTTTCTTTCAGTTTTCGAATTTTTATCAAATCATTACAGCGAGAACTAATATATTAATACTTTAAATACAATATATATATATAATTAATATAATAAAAATATTAATTTTGTTTCGTACCTCCGACGGTCAGAGAAACTTGCTTGGTTTCGATGTTTATTCCATCGCTCACTTGACAAACATAAACACCGCTATCGGACACCTTCACGTCTCTGATAACCAACAGTCCGTTCTCGTCGTCCACGCTTCTACCAGGCGGCAATTGACCACCCTCCTTTCTCCATTTGATATTCACCGAGTCCTATTTGCACACGGCGTGACAGAAAAAGAGATTTCTAGGTAACAATTTTATATCTATAATAAAAAAAAAAAAACAAAAAAAACTACTACATCACTTACGCTGTGTTGAGATCTGCCCGTGCAATGGTATCTAACGGTGTTTCCAGTTTGGACAATCTGGATTTCTGGTTCCTGAATGTAAACTATAATCTTGGGCGGTATCGGGATGACTGGCGAGATAGTTGATTCTCCAGCTGTGTGTGAAACGAAAGCAAACGTTTTTTTTTTTTTTTTTAAACGAATTCAATTGCGGTCGCGTAATTGCAAGAAATTTGCGACGATAAAATGCGACAGTAAAGGGTTAAAAGATGAAGAATAACAAGAAATGGACGTTATTATAGATTCCTATTGCTCTACACAAATATATACTGCGATAGACAATATTCCCCCGTAACACAAAAGTAACAATCACCATCACATTTTCACAAAACATTTGGCAACAATATGACGGTTATTTTGAAGAATAACAATTTCTATACTCCAAAAACAATACACATATTGGTACACGTCGACAATGAATGTTTGCGACACAAGCTTGTCCGCGAATCACACAAATATGAATTCTAGGAGAAGCTCTAAATCCCTTCTATAACAAAAAATCCCACAACACTTCTTCGTCAAATTTCTTCAGAAATCTAGGGACGATCTACGATAACTGGCAATCTACTAACAATAATCTAGCGATATCGCAAAATGTGATGATCGTAACACAATTTGCCTCGCCATGAGTCACCGATTAACAAACAAGATGTACGGAAAAAGCTTCTCAGTAATTGGCGTGGCCCATCAAACCTGTCGTAATCGACGTCACAACCTTGATCAGTTCTCTGCCGCGATACTCCACGATGTGACACTCCACGTTGCACGGGGTGTGTCCCATGAGAACGGACATGGTGCGCACAGCTCCATTCTTCGTCTTGCTGATGCGGCTAGGTTTGGTGGCATGCGCGGTTATAGGATATTCATCGAGTGACGACAATTTGAAATAGATGTACAACATGTCTGGATACTCATAGTTGCATGTAAATTGGATCGTGGAATATGGCGCGAATTTGCCCTTCATGGGCATCAGGCTTACCATCAGTTCATCTGATCAACGTGCAACGACTCGTTATTCGCTTTTGGGCGAGAATTTCGAGACCTTTCTTGTTATATAATACAAAGATATATATATATCTTCTTTCTGACAAAACATCTTCATACTCTTGCATTTATAGAAAAGAGTAAATTTTATATATATATATATGTATATATGTAACTAAATAAATTTTAGAGGTAGATTTTATATGTACAACTTTGTCACATCCTTTTTTTACTTATTTTATGTAAAACTCGGCACAGGTTTAGAACACGCTACGGAGAAATTTTCGATGATTAATGTTAATAAAAAAAAATTAGTAAAACAATTTTTCAATTATCTTCCTTAATTAATCTAAACGCGGCGATTTTAATCTTCTGATTGTTTAATAAGAATTGATTAATTTTTTACTTTTCTAATTTATATCCAGAAGAACCCAAGCGGTCACAAAATATTTATCTATTGTTTCTTCGGAGAACGCTACTTTTTTGATATTGTAAATAAAAGTGTTATGTCCGCGTATTATTTTTTACATAAATATTCCCAAGTAAGAAAAAGTTATTTTACTTACAATCGGTGGAAGTATCTTGACAATACTGTCCCAAGTAACCAGGCAAGCAGTGACACTTGACCTGGCCGGATCTACTGATCTCGCAGCTTTCCTCGTTCCTGTTGCACGGACAAGAAACGCACGAGCCGAGATAACTGACGGAACGGTCGCTGGTATCTCTGTAATAACCACGCGCGCAGCTCTCGCAGGAAGTTCCGGTGTAACCGGACGGACAGCGACAGGCCTCGATCTGAGTCGCTCGTCGATTGCCAACCACGTTCTCCACAGCCGTGTCCATGCTGATGTCGCTGATGTACGTCGCGGTCATCCGGTTGCTGTGGGACGCGCGCACCAGAATAGCCTCCAGATTAGAGAGCACGATCATGAAGTCCGTTCTGGACGCGCTGCGTGGTCCTTCGGTGGTAAGTCGTTTCCATTCGTTTTCTTTCAATGGAACGGAGTAGGTCTGTGAAAAAAAATTGCACACGCAGCGATAAAACGCGATAGTTTCGAGTTTATTTCTTTGCGAACTTGGCGTTCGCGCGGAACATGCTGCAGAAAAATGTTCAATAATAATTGCGTTTAATAATATAATAATTATTTTTTTTTAAATTCTCAAAAAGAATTTTTTAATTATCACTCATTAAAGTTTGCTTGCTTTTACGAGACACGAAATGAAGCTTTTGGTTTACTCACCAGAGGAATTTCAGGTTGAAGCTCTTGCGGATTCGTCCAGAATAACGTGATACCGTTACCGATCAGCAAAATATCTTGATCTTTGTAGCTCTGAGCGCTGGGATACGCGGTGATGTGTTGCGTCAGGGTCAAATTACCGCCGTAACTTTTCACTTTGTTTCCGGTGAAAACGCTCGGCAGCGACCAGAACAGTCGGCTGTTTCTGCTGTCCGGGTAGCGATAACCGATTTCGTTCATCGCCAAATTTAAGTCGAAACCGTCGTTTATTACGTCGCGTCTCGTTCTGAATAGGGAGAGAGAGAGAGAGAGAGAGAGAGAGAAATCCAAATATCAATTATAAATTTAATTTTTTATCGCATCAATTTTCTCTTTATCAGAGAAAAAAATAAATAAATAAATTTCTATTGAAAATAGTTAACAATTATTTGGAAAAACAAGCAAAAATAAAAAAAACAATTAAATAGCGAAAAAACGTTATACGCGCGAGCGAGCATACTTACGAGTCCGTGAGGGTGAAACCGTGATGTGAGTCGTACACCAACATCGGTATTTCTTGTACGTACAATGTGCTCTCGTGACATTGATCAGTTACCCCGCTGCAGTAGCACTCGACGCATCCATCAACGTTCTCGGCACTTAATCCGAATGTCGACGGGCGGCACCGATTGCATTCCGGTCCTTCGACGTTCCTTTTGCATTCGCATCGATCGTCGACACACGACGAACTGCGCGAACCGGCCTCGTTGCATCTGCACTCGGAACTGGGATGTCCTTTGTAGGTGCAATCGCTCGGGGAGCCCCGGGTAGCGTCTCCTTCGTATCCCGGCTCGCAAATCTCGCAATAATTGCCAGCGGTGTGATGATCGCAGTTCTGTGTTAATTGTGGCACAATTGTGGCCAAGTGAACTCTTTAAGTAATCTGTTGTTTATTTGCACATAGTTGAGAGTTTAAGAAAAAAAAAAAATTATAAGCTCGATTTAAAAGAACATCGAGTTTAAATTAATTACGAGATTCAATATGCGCTATTTTTATATTTGCTCAAGAACTTTTGTACTAATTAAATTTTTAAACGCAGTTTCTCAGATTTCTTTCATTGAACCCACCTCACAGGTGCCGGTTTCGGGGTCGCATTGATTCGAGTGACCGTTGCAGTGACACGGCTCGCAGATGCCCAAGTAGAGACCTTCGAAGGCTCGGGTGAAACCGACATCGCAATCCTCGCACGAAAGCCCTCTGTAGCCAGCGGGACAGCTGCATTCTTCAACTTCGACCGCGCGCTCCTTGCCCGTGTTGTATTTTTCGGCGGTATCCAAAGATACGAAGGAGAGCCTGAAGCGTGTGCATTGTTTGTTGTTTGATAAATTGTTGTTAATAATAAATATATATATATGTACACATATATACGTACATACATATTTGCGTTTGAACATTTAATTAAATAACAAATTGTATTTATCCCATTGACGCGTTCGAGATAATTATCTGAGATTCGATAATATCATTGCGAATTAAACGCGCTCTACTCACGCGGCTTCGTCCGTATGCGTCGTGTAAGTTGCTTTGATTCTGATGGCCCGTATGTCCGCAAGGGCCATTAGAAGATGCTCCCTATCCGCCTGAGTTCCGTCGTTGCGTTGCCAATATTGCTCGAGCAACGGCACGGTGAACGATTGCTGGGAGTTCGGTTCGGGGGACTCGCGGGAGTAGTAGAGCAAGTTGATGTCGTTAGCCTGCGCATGCATTATAAGTGTCAAGCCTATTACATCGTCCTCGAAGACACCTAGATCAAGATGCGGGGCGAATATGCACTCACGCTGATAAGTTCGACGTCCGCGGCGTTGTTCCTCGAACTTTGACCTCCCGGTGAGGGAACGTATCTGACGGTGTACTTGAGATTCCCGCCGTACGACGTTATTTGATCGCCCAGGAAAATACCGGGCAGCTGCCAGTAATAGACATCGTTGTTTCCGCGATTCGGAAAGTCGCTATAAACTATTTCACGATTGATGGTGTTCAGATGAATTCCTTCCACGATGGCTGGCGCATCGGTGCTCTTGGACTCGATCAGAGAGAAGTTTCGAATCGAATTAGTGAACGATACGCGAATCTGCAATTACGAATACAAATTGGCTATTTTTTTGTTTTGTTCTTAAAAAATAATAAATTGCGGATATTTCAAATTGAGGATTGTTTTTTGAGAGAAAAACGTGCGCGAATTTTCCGCGCGTCGCATTTCACTTTGATGAGATTCGACTTGACATGCAAAAGATAATAAAGATAATGGACATATGGACATATATACCTATTTTTTTTTTTTTTTCATACCTCGTTTCTGTACCAGTTAGAGGAGATGCATCTGTTTGTGATACCCATACAGAAGCAAGCTATACATCCAAATTGATTCGTCGAGGCCAGATTAAAGGTATTCGCCTTACATTGGTTGCAAGTCAGACCCGTTGCGTATTGCTAAAAAAAACAAAACAAAAACGCACATCGGAAAATAAATAAAAAACATTTTTTTTTTTTTTTTTTTTAACGAAACTTGCAGCATTTATTTGTGCTCCAAGTGTCAATTGCGCACGAGAATCGGCAGAGAATAAATTTGTAGGTACTTACATTTTTTTCAAAGTTAAAATCCATGTGCAAAATGGATGCAAGAACAACAATAAAATCATTACGCTCTTTGTCAACAAACTCGCATTATTATATCTATAATCCTAAGTTCTTGTCATAAGACCAAACTTTAATTTGTGTAAGAAAAAATATATTTACATTAAAATACATTATAATATATTTTATTAATAAAATATATTATATTATATAATAAAATATATAATTTTATTAATAAAATATATTATACATTAGACTGTAAAGAAAGAGATTACGCGTACGGGAAGAGGGTTGCGATATTATTAACGTAAATACCTTGCAATGACATTTTCCAGTCAGCGGATCGGCGTTGGGACTAAGACTGCCGTGAGGATCGCATTGCGAAATAGGAACGCACATGTCTCCGGGAATGAGCGGATTTCCTTGATAACCGGTAGCGCACTGCTCGCACCTACGTCCAACGTATCCAGGAGGACAGTCGCACGTCGGCTGTCCGTCAGATCCGAGATGACACGTACGAGCGAATCTGTTGATTCAATCAATAAAAAATCGTGTCGAAGTAGAGACTGTGAAATACTCGGAGACGTGAAATCGTTTTTTGTGTTTCTTACTGATTCGACGGATTGGTGAGCGGGCAAGGACAGATCTGGCAAGGGATGTTCCTCGAGGGATCACCGTAGTATCCCGGAGGACACGGCGGCTCGTCTCTGTAACACTGACCGAGCCAAGGTCCGCTTTCGCGTCTCAGGAAACCAGGCGCGCAGGTCTCGCAGGACAAACCGGTATATCCTTAAAGTCGCGATTTTGAACCAATGAGTGCGAAGTCGGGTTAAAATATAAAATTCTGACGTTCGAGCGAGCGAGCGAATGAACGAACTCTCCGAGATTTTTCGGGAGGAAAAATACATACCGGTCGGACACTGACACTCCTCCACAAACGACGCGGATCCCAATCCGGTGTTTCGCACATCGGCGGTGTCCATGATGATATTGGTGATGCGCACGTCCAATTGCGGCGAGTCCTCGTATTTCATTCTGAAATTCAGTTCAACACCGTGACGCTGCAAATATTATATACATCCTATCACTAAATCGCGAGATCGTGTGTTATGCCTACTTTATGAGAATGTTGTCGACGTTAGCGAGCGTCATCATAATTTCCTCTCTAGAAGCCAGAACCGCGTTCGGTCCTTGCAGCTTGTACCAATCGCCGTAGAAGAATCTGACCGATTCCTCGGTTTCGTAATCCGGTCCCGCCGTAGTAGTCTTGCCGTGCACCAGAGTGTAATTGTTGCCGGTCACAATGACGTTGGGCTCGTGATTGGGCGTGCCGTTGCCGCTGTAACGAATCGAATACTTCAGATAGCCGCCGTAGGATTTCAGTTGACTGCCGTGATACGTCTCCGGTAGCGCGTAGTAATGATACAGATAGTTGTTGTAACCGGTCACATCGTTGGCGGCCGCCAAAGGTTCCACCACGTGAACGCCGTCTCGTCCGATCGAACGCACCTCGTCTAACTGACTGCTCACGTCGGACAGAAGTCGGACTCTCGGCTTGGTCTCGACCAGCACGATTCTGTGACGATCGATCGGCGGCGGTATCTGATAAGTGAACAGATCGGCGCTTCGACACTCGGTTGCGACGCCGAAGCAGAAGCACGAGATGCACTCCTCCTCGGTTTTCGCCTCGGAATTGAACTTGCCCTTGGGACAGACATCCGGCGGTCCCTTCACGACCACGATGGTGTCGGGCACAGCGAAAACGAAACCGGCGTTGTACACCGCTTCGCACGAGTACGCGCCTTGATCCTCGGTCCGTATGTCCGGACACGTTAGCGTACCGGTTCCGTTAACGGACGTGGTCGTGCACTTCGCGGGTATGTGTCCCCAGTTGAGTCGCCAGCTGATCGTCGGCGTTGGGACGCCGATCGCCGTGCAGGTAATGACCAGCAAATTGCCCGGCTCGAGAACGACCATCGGCGGAGGTGGTTTCACGATGTAAACGGGAGCTGCGTAACCAAAAAAAAAAAAAAAAAAAAAAGATTACTTGCAGGCAATAATTATTTGTTTCAAATAATTATTTGCACAACAATTATTTGTAAGAAAAATATTATAAAAAAAAAAAAAAACATTTATATATTCCGAGCGGTATTGTAGATTCTTAATCAAGCGGGATTTTTTTAACAAAACTTCTTCCGCGATATATAAAAACAAGAGGAACGCATCAATAAAGCAAATAAAACGCGTTGAATAAAACGTCCGACTGTCCGATTTGTCTCGTCGAAGTTAGTTCTTCGACTTCCTTCGTAAAGTATTTGCGATATAAAAAAAAAATTGGAACGCTAATGAAATACTGATACGTTCCGCGAAGTGTTGATTAATACTGACAGCATCCGATTTCGTCGCTTCCGTCCAGACAGTCGCGCTCCATGTCGCAGTGATAGATCTTCGGTATACATTGTTTGTTGCTGTTGCACGCGAACTCGCTGTAACGGCAGGGCGATCCCGGGGGAGGCGGAGTGCAGTTTTCCTCATCGCTACCGTCGGCGCAGTCCTTCTCGCCGTCGCAGCGCCAGAACTTGCTGACGCACTGCTTATTATTGCAACGGAACTCGTTTGGCTCGCATCCGTGCGGACCTGTCGAGAGGAAACACGTTGATGTTGTGTGTGACACGTTTCGCGCGAGAGTGAGTCTCATGAAAAAATTAGTCTCTCTCCCGCGAAACCCGGAAAGGATACTTACTGCATCGCATCTCGTCGGATCCGTCCGAGCAATCGTATTTCGAGTCGCAAACGTAAGACTTGGGGATGCAGTCGCCGTTGCTGCAAGTGGCTTCATCGTACTGATCGCAGGGCACTCTCGGCGGTCTGGTGCTCGGTTGCTCGACTGTTTAATCAATCAGATTTAATTACGCGACACGATCATCATCATCATCATCACGTCGCACGTCGTTGTGAAGAAATAAAGATGCGTTTATTGAAACATTTACACACACACTAGGTTTTTTTTTTTTATTCCTAGTCTCAAATAAATGTCTCAATATATATTCCGGCGTGCAGTAAATCAGAAGAGAGCAAGCGAAGGAAAATGAAACGTACACTTCTCGACGCTGAGGACGACGCTCACTTGACGTCCCGGGGTGGACTGCGGATAATCAACGGCCTCGCAAATGTAAGTTCCCGAGTGCTCGAGTTGGATGTTGGGTATCTCCAGGCGACCGTTGATGTCCCGACTGCCGGACGGCAGTGGAAGACCGTTACCGCGAATCCAACGTACTCGGGCGCGCAGAAGACCCTCGTCACGGCATTGGAACACGACCTCGCGACCTGATTGGAATGGATTTCGCGTGATATAAGTTCCGCTCGGTTTCAAGAGAGTGAGAGAGAGAAAGAAAGAGAGAGAGAGAGAGAGAGAGAGAGACTTGCACAGTCTGATCGTTACGGATTATTACGCCCACAGGGTTTATCCGCAAAGCAAGCGGATTTCATCCGTTTCTCGAATTAAAATGACGTTGATGTGTATGGCGTTAGTGTTTGGGATTATTTTTTTTTCTCTTTCGCGCGTCATTTCGGTTCTTCTTCAATCGTGTGTTACGCTGATTATTATTATATACACTGACGATCTCATAAACAGCGATAACGTCGATAAAGGCACATCCGACACCGTAAAATTGACATTCTTATTCGCAAAGAGAACGAAAAGAAAACTTTTCAAACACAACCCGAGGAAGGAAGTTCCTCGTGTGCGGGCAAGTTTTTTTTCTTTTTTTTTTTTTTTTTTATCTGGTTACGTATGTAATTATATAAAATCACATACACACGATACAGAGAACGCGTCTCGATCTCGTACATGTAATTATATATAATTATTTATAACTCCAGATAATCGAATTTGTTCGTACGTGCAGGAAGCATATTTTTTCCAGGAATATGAAAATATAACCGGAATTATAAAATATTAAAGAGAGTGAGGAAGAGAGAAAGAAAGAGAGAGAGAGAGAGAGAGAGAGAAAGAGAGAGAAAATAAAGAAAAGTTCGTAGAGCTTTAATCGAAAATCTGTGTTTTAGTTTTCAGTAACATATCAGCTGTTATGCGTGATTACATCTGCATGCGTGTAGCTCTTTGAAAGATATTGAATTAGTAACAAAATTCTCCGTTTATGATTCGTGTATCCGTTGATTCAACGGTGTTGTCGTTGTAAATAGAAATGTAATTTTTTTGTTTGCGCGCGTGTGCGATCGCAATGTGCGTGTATACATATGTATATCTGACATCGCGACGATGGAATTACGGAGTGTGATATACGACAAAATTGATCGAAAGCTTTTCTCAAGTCCCGGATATATGTTTCATATTCGCTTACGTTTTTTCACAAAAACACCACGGATTTTTTTTTTTTTTTTTTTTTTTTTTTAACCAAGCGAAGATACATTTGTACGCGTGTGTGCGTGTACAAAACACATATAAACGCTTGCGCTTAATATCACGTATTTAATGATTTTTGTGAAGATTAAATTTATAGCCCACACAGCATGATTTTTTCAGCAGCTTATATCTTTTGAAAAAAGTCTTACCTTGCTTCGCCGGGTCTGGCCAAGGCAAGAAAAGAAACAACATACATTATTTGTATTAATTAATTTTCTTCGAGAACAAAATAATTTAAATTTCAACGCGTGGCACTTGTTGCTTATTATTATTATTATTATTATTATTATTATTTTAGTGTGATATACTACAGTTATCGAAGTTTTGTGCTTCTACAGAAGAGAGTTCAAATTGCAACAAATGCATAAAACATCTACGACCGAACATTCTCTACGTCGCAAAATAATACTTACTCTCTTTGATCACTTGCTCGCTGGGGTACGTCTTCAATCTGAGCTCGGATGATCCGTCGGTGTCTGCGCGTGGAAACAAAAATCAATATCAATTTGCAATAAAAGATGAAGTGTTCATTCTGGTATTAATCGAACAATTAAGGATTAATAGAATTATTAAGACAAAATCTAATGTCTAATTCAAGTCTTGTTAATTTGTATATTTGTACATCTTCTGCCCCCGCACCTTTCTACGTTTTGTTTTTTTTTTTGTTGTTGTTTCTACAAACAAAAATTAAAAATCTTGGTCAATCAGTCTTCCAAAGTAAATACAGCGCTTACGGGGTGACAAGAGTTTTTTTTTTTTATGAGTAATGTAACACACCATACTGATACGTGTTGTTGCGGACGTGATTTTTACAAGCCAGTTTACCATTCCATACATATTATGTATTTATACGATAAAATAAGTACACAGTGTTGTTATTCTCTCAGATTAAAAGTATCAAATGTTATCGGATGTAACTGTAGAATTGTAATTTAAATGCTCGGGATTATATGCGCAGCAGGCTCATTTGTGTGCTCTCTCGTTTGTCCTTTCCACTTTGCAAACGGGAACATCTTTCAGTGTGTTATGTAAAATAGTATTATAATATTGTGATGCGTATATTGGATATAATTTTATGTTACGTATGTCACAGAGATATATTTACAGGGTATTATTGATTAGCTCGTGGCGTGTTATCGGCGCGTTGTTATCAAGCCGGCCGGATCCTCTTTATTTTATTTTATTATTATTTTTTTTTTATTTTTTTATTTTTTCCCCGAGGGCGGCCTTCGCGCCGTGTGTTGTGTGACTAACTACCGCGAAGACGGGGGGGGGGGGGAGAACTCACAATTGTCATAACTGCAGTCCACCTCGTCAGACATGTCTCTAGGACAGTCGAGTCTTTTGTCGCACCGCTGATGCAGCGGAATGCAGTGGCCGTCATTGCACATCCACTCGTGCGATCGGCACCTACTGTGATTTCTATGCATCGCTCTGTAGTCGCAGCCGAGCTCGTCGCTATCGTCGTACGGGCAATCGATTCGGCGATCGCAACGCTGATGCAGGGGTATACAATCACCGCTCTTGCACTGCCATTCGTTGCATATCACTCCTTGATCTTATCACGTTAAATGCGTGTATGTATTATATATACGTACGATATCTTTTTCGCTTATATAAAATACATCGGTTTTACAAACAGACGCGTCTTAACGAGAGTTAGAGAACTCGGTCCGATTCGATTATCGCGATATCCGCGCGATAATTTAAAATAGAAATTCGCGTATCGATTCGTTCCGATCCATCCTGTTATCGGCGTTCATTTTTATAATACAAGTGATATTTAAAATTTCTATATATATACATATGTATCTCGTTGGCGACTGAAAGTGGGTCGTCGACTTACCGCAATTACGCTCGTCCGACGCGTCTCTGCATTCCGGGATTCCGTTGCAGATGGAAGATAAAGGCACGCATCTTCTGTCCGAGACGCACGTGAACTGATCGTCCGCGCAACGACTCGGTAATTCCGGTGGTGGTTCCGGCTCTGTGGAAAACAAAAAAAAACAAGGACGTGTCAGAAAACTGCGCGTCACAAATAAACCGTTGTTTCTTTCTCTTTCTCAGATTACTCTGTAAATAGCCTTGAAATTACATTGAATTGCGCGTGCATCCGGTTCTGTCAGCGACGGAGAGACTTTTTTATTTTTATTTTTTTTTGTATTATGTTTCAACGATTTTATTGATTATCGATCGAGAAGAATGTGGTGGCGATTGCGACGCTTATCCAACTGCGCGCACAACTTACCGCATTTCTCTTCGTCGGAACCGTCGTCGCAGTCCACGTAACCGTTGCATTTCTGATCGGCGCGAATGCAGTCGCCGTTGCCGCACTGGAACTGATCCCGCGAGCATCCTATAAAAGAACATTTTCCCCCATTGGGGCAAATCAACGATACAACGCAACGAGAACGCTGATATGCGTAAAAACAAAAAAGAGGAAATAAAAAAAAAAAAACAAAAAAAAACGATATAGATGAAACACAGATAATACATGTAAAATGTCAGCCATGGAGCCATCATATATGTCCGTCATTACATTACTAAAACAATAATCTAAACACGTCGAGATATAAATTACGAGATGGAGGGAAGGATTGCCTAAAAAACTTTATCTAGAAAAAAGACTGTTAAACATTTAAACACGGAGCTGTCTAACTCCGAGCGATCCTCTCTCTCTTGTGTGTGTGTGGTCTTTCGTCTCTCTTCGCGCGACGACGATTGCTCGCGCGACGTCGCAAGTTAGACAGCTCTCAAGGCCAAAAAATCTATATAAGACAACTCTTATGTCGGAAATCAATCCACACGGTGAATCAGATAACGGTTTTTTTTTTTTTTTTTTTTGTACTGTTTTTTGTTTTTAATTTTACGCGCGATTTAAAGTCCTTATTAGAGTACCGTGTGCACTGATCGAATTATCTACGAACATTTATATATGTACGTAAATCATCATTCAATGTAACGTAAACCTAAAGAGGAAAGACATTTGAGAGATCCTTTACACCGCGCACGATTGTTTTTTTCGATTGCAATTTGAGATTATTGAACGAGCATTCGAGTGCTGTTAAAAAAAAAAAAGTGTAACAGCAATGTTTTCTAAAAAAGGGGGTATTAGTTTCCCTTTCGAGATAAACGCAACTTGTGCTCCCAAAAGAAAGAACTTGCTGTTTGCTTTTAGTCTGTATTTTTAATTCGAAAAATATTTACAATCAAAACGTTTCATCAGAGAAATTCAGATTTATTTTAGAGACTCTTCCCCCTCCCCCCTCCCCCCGATTCAGTTCGCTTTTTCAATCGATAAACTTGACTTGAAGAGTGACCGGCCCGGAAAAATCCTAAGGTGTGTGGATTCTCGAGAACTCGGGGGCTTCTCTGCTCGCACAGCGCCTCTGCAGCCTCGAAAGATCCCACCGGGCCGGTCACCAAATTCTCTACGAAGAGGATTAAAGAAATGTTCTTTCCTCATTCTATATATGTGTGTAATATAATATGCATGCTATGTAAATATAGGATTTATGGCAAACGTTCTACCTACGAGAAAAATAAATATACGATCTAAATTTTACGCCAGGCAGAGATGCACTATTGTTTTTATATAAGAAGAGGCGCCGGACAATATATATATATATATATGTATATATTTATATGTAAGACTGCGATGACTGTAAAATTTCATAAATATATAATCAAGTTCTACTACTCGAACAACCTACACATCATTTCTATTCAGCTGCTAACACAGATTGGCAGAAAAGAATATAGATCCGAGAGAATCTGGTGTTTTTCGGAAGAAATTTTTAGAACATTTTTTGCGAAATAAGAGAAAAAGAAAAGAAGAGTAAAAAAAAGCCGCTTTTTAATGTATGCTCGAGAAGATGAAATAAACTTGCCGAGAGAAGAAAATTCATGTTACAGAAGCTTATTCAACGGGCGAACGACGATAAAAACAACTTTAGATATGTATTCATCAAAGATCCCGAAAAAAAGCTTTTAGTTTCCGTGTGGGACGGCAGATTAATTTGCGATATAAATGAAAGAACAAAAACAAAATGATGTAACAAGTATGAATAATTATCAAGGTAAGAAATTATACTTTTTACATATAAAGTGGTTAAAAATCTTTTTTAACATATATTTTTAACATTTGTGGCAAGTTATTCGAACTTTGAGTCGAATTTACGTGAATGTGTTTTAAATGCTTTTAACGGCTGCGAAATTGATCAACAACCGCAAGAGAGAGAGAGAGAGAAAAAAAAAGAGAGGGGAAAGGCGAAATCGCGTGGGTCCGTCACCAGATTTTCGAGATCTACAAATAATCTAACCGAAGCAGTACTGTTCGTCGGTAAAGTCGCGGCAATCGTAGAAATGGTCGCAGTGGTGGGTTTCGGGGATGCAAGTGCCGTCGGCGCAAACAAAATCATCCGGAGCACAACTCCTCGGCGTGCTCAGATTTGTCGGCGGCACATCAGCATTTGCATCTGTGTCTGGAGTGTAAGCCTCGTTATCCGGATTCACACGGGCTACCACCCCCGGCGTCTCTGGACGCCCCCACGAGGAGACGCTATCCGAGGCGTCTACACCTAGAAGTAACTCAATCTGAACTGCTGCTGTTCACGTGGACGTGTCATTTGTGTGTGTATTGATGACACACACCGCGCGCGCCCACAAACGACAACTCGTGCTCGAGGCACGTTTCGAAAACACGAGAGAGCGAGAGAGAGAGAGAGAGAGAAAGAGAGAAAGAGAGAGAAAGAAAGAAAGAGATAAAAAGTCTCCTTTCTTTGCCGAAGATAATGTCGCGTAATCAGGACTTGAGACGAGAGTTTCGCGAACGAAACGTGGTTGTCTCGTGTTTCTTACATAAATCGCAGTCGAGGTGTTATCTTTCATCATATAAACGAGATTTATTTATGCTATGACGATTCGAGAAGATATTACGGAGCGTAAGAATAAACTTCGTTTGTTGAATGAAGCGTACGGTTGTATAGTCGCGCCGTGGTATTAAATTTCAAACTCTTGGGCGCGAAAAAATATATTCATTGAACGCTATAATAAAGTGTGTAGTGGTAACGCAAGACTATAGGGTTGAGAAAATGTATAAGGTTGCGTTCGCTCGCGCCACGTTTTTTTTTTTTTTGTTTTTTTTTCGACGTCGTCTCAAGTGTTGTCTGTGAACACGTTCCGCGTAGACTAGAATTATTTATCGTGCCGATAAACGTGAATAAACTAATTAGGAGTAATCCTGATCTGAGTAATTTTTTTTTTTAATCAGAAAAGATTATAATTTCAATCTTAAAAATTAATCAACGCTCAAGTCTCTGTGCTGAGAGACACAACGCGGAGCGTTGTATCGTGACGTGAGTGTTGATTCGTGGACGTTGATTTTACCTGGGCGACAATTGAGCTCGTCCTCGTCGTGCGGACAATCCGCACGACCGTCGCACACCGCCTCTCGAGGTATGCAGCTTCCATCGGAGCAAGTGTAGCTGTTGTAATCGCACCGCGCTGGAACTTTAGTCTCTCCGCCGTCCGCTGTGCGAGATAAAAAAAAAAAAAAATAATAAATAATATATTATTAACAAACACATAAAAATGTACAGATGTAATTTGCGTTGCTTGATTTTTTTTTTTTTTTTGTTACAGTTTGACGCTGATGTGCCCGATTTGAAAATGACTCGAAATACGATCGAAACGTTTTAGAATTGTTGCGATTCTAGTGTAGCAATTTATCGCGTAAACGATTAGTTCGCGTATTTGTCCGACGTGTGTGTGCGTTTGAAGTTTTTTTTAATTTATTTATCGTTAGCTCTGGGGGAAAAAAAAAAAGGTTTTTATCGTCTCGCGCAAATGTTCTCCCAGGTTTGCGGGAGAGGAATGTCGCGAAGAGCTTTTTGTCGGGAAAGCGCGACAAAAAAAAAGAAAGGTGTGTCTATCTAAAGATATTTCTTACGGCAATTTCGTTCGTCACTAGCGTCATGGCAGTCGATATTGTGGTCGCAGAAGAAGTTCTTATTGATACAGACTCCGTTCTCACAAGGCAGTTGACCGTCGGGACACTCTGCAAGAATCAACCGACCGCGTTAGAATCGCAGAGTAGGATGCGGGAGGAATCCTTTGTGAGAAGGAAAAAACACTACGAGAGAGGCGGCAATGCGCACGTTTCTCCGACATCAATCGCACGCGATCGGGTGCGATTATTCTTGAACACTTCAGCCGGGTCGTCGTCGTCGTCATCGTCGTCGTCATCGTCGTCGTCGTCGTCGTCGTCGTCGGACGGGGTCACGAAGAATACCCTCGTGTATGAGTCAGCCGGAAAAAATTGCGGACGGCTTCGATATGTTGCAACCCCGCGCGCGCGCGAGCAACCCTCGCAACCCCTTGTATATACACGAAGAAATTAGATGCGCGAGGCTGACCAAGTGCCTTCGATAATCGTCGATCGATGGAGTCCCGCGAGAGGTGCTTCCTCTTTGCGACGGGGACTGTAAGGCGGCGATAAAAACGCCGGATATATCGCGCGCATTGCCGGTATGTAATATCGCGCATACATATATTTCAAGAAAAAACACACGCCGGCATGATGTCGCGTGCACGCGCGCGCTCGTTACATAATCGAATTGCGAAAAAAAGAGCGGAAAAAACAAAATTCAGAAATGTTCTAACCCGTATTTTTAATTTCCATGCGCTACGCGCATTTATGACCCCGGAATTATTTATTGCGTGTGTACAATCTTAAATTCGAAACGTTTACACGTATGAATATTTTATAAACTTCATTTAAACTACACACACACACACACATACATATATGCGCGTACGAATGGTCATGTTTTTTCATTTTTATTAAAAATGTGAAACTTAGTTTCTCAAACACAGAGAGAGAGAGAGAGAGAGAGAAAGAGAGAGAGAAAGAGAGAAAGAGAGAGAAGGGACCATCGTGCAAAACGTGACATTTACAAAACTTCGCGTTACGTCAGTCGCGCGAGTGCTACGCGCGTTGTAAACGCAACACAACAGAGCGCGGTTTTGTGCACGCGTCACCGCGCGGCGTGGAAATTTGCGCGTAGACGCAAATAACCGAAGGTAAAAGGAGATATTAGAAAAACGTTATATATACATATATAATTTTATGCACTGGTATATAGATATATTATGTATATGTAGATATGTATATATACACATATAATAAGTAGAGATGCGCAATTCAAAGATCAGGCAACCTGTGCTGAAAAAATAGACGGATAATAGTAATAAACAGGCGTACAGATAGAAAGATAGACAGAAGAGAGAGAATATATATATATATATATATATATATATATATATATATATATATATNTATGTATATATAGAGAGAGAGTTAGTTCGATCCCATTCATAATCGATGCAAAATGCATGTCAAGAAGTCCGAGCGCGTAATCAAGACTCATGTATGTCCCATGTACGCAAGTCAGTTATTGAGTATTGAAATATCCAAGATCACAAGGCACAAACAGCTATAAGAGACCGTCAAGACACGATGAAAAAAAAAAATGATGTGATTAAGAAAATTTTGTTTGGTTTGTTTGACACTTTGTCGCGTTTGATAGTTTTGTCCCATTGTGTCTTGACGTTGTTGAAATATAATAATGAGATACGCAATATATTGACGGAGAAATTATCACGTGTGGAAAAGAGTTGGGGGATTAAAAGAAAACTCACATAACGGGAGTAGATCAGAGGAGGAATATTTCCGACTCTCTCGCCGAGGTTTAAAATATTCGCTGAATTTATTTCCGCCTCTCGCCTCGGATTCTAATTACTCGAGCGAAGTGCAATCAAAGAATTCACACAAATGCCGATTAAAACCAAAGATCCACGTTAGAGCGAATTTATTTGCATTTCACGTGCGCCAGTTCGGACACACACGCTGATGTGTGTTTTTTTTTTATTTTTTACAAAAAAAAAAAAAAAAAAAACCGACGAGAAGAAATCCAAACATTTCAAAAGCAATTCCCGTAGCTCAGCGGTCGGCTAAAACGCGTTTCGCGGGAATGGATCCCTCGCCGCGATTGATTTCGATTCATCCATCTTTTACGGGGGGTCGTTCGGAGGTGACTGCGACAAGTGGTGTCGCGACACATCGGTATTCAAGTTAATGGGCAGTCAACGTCCGGCTAAAACGTGCCCGTACGCTCGATACAGAGCGGCGAAATGAGATTAACAGCTTCCGCGTACGTGTGTACACCTTTGCGCGCCCGTATTAGTTACACAGGCCTCTTTAATTGCCCCGACTTGAACGCGGTTGAAAGTTGTTCGTCGGAGAACGCGCACCCCGGTCCGATGCGAACGTATATACCGCCCGATCTAAATGCCGTCGGCGTTTCGCACGAACTGACTTATGTCTGTTATCACCGCGATCGAGACATCTCGCACAGGATCTCACCCGGAGAGAAGTTTCTCTCGTGACACGGTCACTTTGCTCGGAAAATCGACTGCGCGATCAGATTTCTAAATCTTTAGGCCTTGGAGAGAGTTTCTTTCGCGATCCGCGAGCGTGCAAACCTGTTTCGCGCGCGCGCGGGCAAAACGAAACGGCGAAAGGTAGAAAAGCGCGAACCCTCGTGTTTGAAGATCCGCGTCGGAAGGACAAAGGAACCGATCTCGAAGGTTGACGAGAGAGGAAAGAAAAAAAATTAGCCAGAGGAGGGAAACAAAGTCGTGTTGTCGAGAAATAAGAAAGAGGGAGACATTATGGTTAGATGTAAATGCGAACAACAAAGTAAGTCTATAGTTTTTCTTTTGAAACACACCTTTTGTATGTCTTTTTTTTTTTTTTTTTTGTAAGTATGACACACAAAGAAACGTGTGAAATTCACGATTCTCGCACGGATTAGCAAATGGATTAGTAAACGGTTGCATGTCATTAACCGTCGCTAAGTATCATATGCTCATACACAAAAATGCCGCACGCGTCGCAGGTATGTAAGTACGTGTTTGCAACCCGCGACGAGAATGCTGATAGTAAAAATAGTTCAAGAGGTATAAAAAGAAGGGACAGAGAGAGAGAGAGAGAGAGAGAGAGAAAGAGAGAGAGAAAGAGAGAGAGTTGTATGTTACGAACAGAAAAATATCGCTTGAAGAAAAATTATCGTTGAAGATTTGCAAACATATTGACGGATGAAAAAAAAAAAAAACATATGTTTTCTCATCAAAAATTGCTGAATAGATTAATTGTGACTCGTCGAATTAACGATGAGCTTTCTTCGCGCGATTGTTATTTTATCGATCTAATAAAAATAATGGCGCTAAGAAGGACACAGACCCAAGTTCTGTCAAATCAAACGAAAAAAAAAAAAAACGGGCGAGTTCGCTACTTCTAAACAGTGTTGTAAATCTTTCTCTCTAACGTTCGTAACACGCAGTGCTATTTTCAGAGATGTCACTACACCATTCAAAATTAGATACGTCGTAAGTATCTACAAAAGGGTTCTACATATATGTATGTATATATACATATATATACATATTATATATATATATATATGTATATATATATATATATATATGGTCTCAGGTCTATATCATCCTCGGCACGTGAGAAATAAAGCCAAATTATAACCGTTACGAGGACAATCGATCTCGTCAGAGCCGTCCAAGCAATGCGGCCGACCGTCGCAACGTCTCTTATTGTCGAGGCACAATCCGTCGTTGCATCGAAACCACCCAGCCGGACATTTCTTGTCTACAATGTAATTACCAAGTTCCATGTCGAATATTGTCGTGCATGCTACCGGGCAAGAGAAGAGGGAGGGGGAAAAGAGTGGAAAAAAATGGCCTTACCCATCGCAGACTCTCGTAATCGGACGTTTTCTTTTATAAAAAGAAAAAAAAAATCTAGAGAAAGAAACGTGCTCGCATCCCGTGCACGATAATCATTTTCTTTTTTTTTTTTTTTTTTTTTTTATCAACACCGAAGTAATCGCGATAATCGTTTTTCATATCTATCAATTACAATCCCGTGGATTGCGCGTGCAATTATAGTTCAAGCGTGTAAATTAATATATACACACGCGCGGATAATTTTTGAATTATTAAATTCAATTCGAAAATTTATCCGATGCCTGATGTTTGTGCATCTCGCGTAAATAAAATTTGTTTTCATTTTTTTATTCTTGATAAAATTTCAACAATATCCAATGCGAAAATGACACTTCGATCAGCATATTTAAATTTGCATCTGATCTCAAATCTAAGATTGGACGTTGTCGCGAGCTTTAACACGTGTTTTTATTGTAACTTTTATTGTCTTTTCTATTTGCATCTCGCGTTCCAATCGAGCTCCTTGCATAATGGAAGGAATGGCGATATAGCGATAGAAATAACACCAGTTTTAAAGAGTTTATATCTATAAATAACGGTAGGAACAGCGTAGGAATCTAACATATAAAAATACACACGTATCAAGGCAGATCAGAAAACGGAATAAGCAATAACGATAAAATTTCCGATGAATTGGAATTCTGCCTATTGCTTGTCACTATTCCCTCGCATTGTGCAAGAGGCTGCTTCAAAAATGATCAAAACGATTATCTCAAAATTGCAAAAGTAATGCATGTAGCAATGCAAAGTGAAGTAAATAGATATTAAAAATTTCAAAACGCGATTACTTGAGCGTTAACACAAAAAAAATGTTTGCATGACATTTTCATCAATTGTTTTGCAATCTATTATTAATGAGTACCAGTCACTGCGTTCTAGTTCAAGTTCTTATGCAGAGTAGAACGCGATCAATTTTCAGTAATCGTATAACATTCATCTTGCCGTAACATTTACCCTTCTTGTTCAGTTAGAATGTTATTGTAATCTACTTACAGAGTTTCATGCGCTTCCGAACTTATATCGGTTATAATTTTCAGAGAGAAAGAGAGAGAGAGAGAGAGAGAGAGAGAGAGAGAGAGAGAGAGAGAGAGAGAAAGAGAAAGAGAGAGACGTGAGCCATTTATATAATTACGTTTGCAGAAAGTAGACAAAATACGACATGCGACATCGCGCTGATCGTGCAACCGCCGCGACATGCGAAACTGGTCCTTTTCGCCGGAAAGAATGCGATATCGAGTTTTGTCCCATGCATGTGAGGTGTATTACGGAGAGTCTTTCGATCAACTTCTAACACGTTAGAACAGCGAGTGATCAAATCAATAATTAAATAACTTCACAAAATAAATTAGAATATATTATATTCTAATATTAACAGAAACATTGAGATCAAGATAACAATAATGGCGCCATTGCAGTATTGTGATTAGAAAATAGTAGTTCTATATACATTGATTTAAAAAAATAACAATTGTTAATTGTAAAAATAATAATAATTGTTAATTTTACTCGTGCAGTATTAAAAAAACTATGTTATTAAATTATTATTATTATTATTATACTTTGAGAATCAAAATCTCTACGTTAGGTTAGTTTTTTACGTTATTTAATTATTATTATTATTATTATTATTATACCTCAAGAATCAAAATCTTTCTGGATTTTCGAAACATGCTCTGCACGTTCAATATCGTTTTAATTTAATCGTTCGCGATGACTTCTCAAAAATAACAAGAGTAAATAGAATTTTTGTAACATTACAATGAAATTTTGGAAATTCTTTCGTGTGAGAGGAACTGTTCGTAAAAAAAAAAAAAAGCGCAGTAATTGGACTTTGATCAAAGCGCAAGAGCGATGAGGCCATTTTTTTCTTGCGAGCGAAAGCTGTGTGTCATATAATTACCGCATTGATCCTCATCGGATCCGTCACTGCACTGCTTTATCCTATCGCACCGCTGGTTTTCCGGCAAGCATTCGCCACTGGCGCATTTCCACTCGCCAGGTATGCATATCCCTTCACGACACAAACATGTAGAAAGCTCGCTCCCGCGAAAAGCGTTAAGGATCGAGGTGTCGTCAATGGTGTCATTATGCAAATGTTTCGATATAAGTAAAGTAAAAATATTCACAAAACTCTGTCGATACCCATAATTATAAGCAACAAAAGTTCAATAAATACAAAGTTTTATTCGGAAAAAAATTAAAAAACAAAACATTAAAAAAAAAATGTTTCGCGTAACAAAGATGTTGCAAAAATTCTTGTGCGCGGCTTCCAGATTGGAACCGCGCTTCAAACGTCTCGCGAAAACGTCTCTTTATAAATTAATTTTAATTACAAGTGTGTTGAATTAACTGTGTTTCTTTAATGGCACCATTAAAATCTGTGAGAAAATATTAAAAAAAAAAAAAACAAAAAAAAAAACAAAAAAAGAGCGGAACGGATCGGGAGGACGAGGAGTAAAGCCCTTACCACAGCCCCGCTCGTCGCTGCCGTCGAGGCAGTCGAAGATATTGTCGCATTTGCGTCGCAGAAGAACGCAACCGCCGTCATCGCAACGCATTTCCTTCCTCGGATCGCATTCTCTCCTACGTTCTGGCGCCCAGCGTGGATCGGACGTGTCTAAGCGCACACATAGGCACATTCAAGAGAATTCACGGCAAAGGAATCAAGCGAAAAATAACACGAGTATAAGGACACGTGGTAGGTATACTTACAATCAGTTGTAAACAATGCACTCATATATCACACACAGAGAGAGATATATATATATATATATAATCATAATGCAACTAAGGAATGCAATAAAGGCCAAAGGGGAAAGATTAATCCGCAAGCAAAGTTCGCGCAAAAAACAGCGGCGAAAGAACATTAATCTTTTACGTGTTGTTAAAATTACATTACGTTTAAAGTCTCTTTGAGCGTTGAAAATATTTTATATCTTTGCGGTTTGCTATTCTTTTGGCAAAAAATGTAAGTATGTGACGTGTGAACGGGAACCACCGGTCTGTGAGGCAATTGCCGCAAGAATAATAAAGTTCGCAAAGATACCAAAGGAACCGGTGAATGAAGAACATCGTCCGGACACTATCGTCGCAACCACGTCGAGCGTTCAAGTTCGTGCGCAATGCAGCTACTTGCATATCAATGCACGTATGTAGCGTATATCTGCGGGTTGCCTTATATTCGCGGCGATTTACGGCGCGAACGAGCGGGAAAACCACCACGTCGACGTAAAACCACCGTGAATCTTCCGTAAAGGAAAGGATTCGCGGGGGATGATGCATTTCCGGAGGTGCGTCCCGCCGGTCCTTTCGCGTATTCCCTCGAAGAGCGGCGCGAGACCGCGGTCGAGAAAATTCAGCTTATCGAAGAGAAAAATATATATATCTTCTCACCTTCCCCCCCCCCTCCCCCCATCTCTCTCCACCCCGCATCTTCGAGAAATTGTTTCTATGAGGTTTTCCGCGTTTTTATCAATTCTTCAAGAACTCTGTGCGACACGGCACAAGCAAACGTTACAATGAATAACCCGCTTCCGGATCTTCTTAGTAAAGAGGCCGGAAAAACTCTGGTTTCTCGACCGCGATTGTAACACACCGATTGATCGTGAGAAATGCACAATGAAATGCAACCATCGTCGAGTGTGTATCCGCTTCAGCGGCTGGTATCCACTTGTCCCGCATAAATAAGAGTTCCTTAAGAGGATTCGGTCGAAACCAAACATTACCGACTTCCGCGGAACATTACCGAAGACTCCGGCGGAAACTTTCTTGTAACACCCGGCGGAGTTTCAAGTCTCCGGTTTTATTTTATTTTATTTTATTTTATTTTATTTAAACGCGTCGAGACGTGTAAAAATGCGAGAACGTAAACGAAAGAGTGAAAATCACAAAAAATGTTTCGTTCGCTTCGCGAGGAACGAAACAAGAGAATCGCGTGCAATTAATAACTGACGGACGGAGACGCGCCGTCGGTTATCGATTTTCCAAAAGCTCTCAACGTTATTGATCAGTCCAGAAAAGCTATTGACGCGCGAATATTTTAATCGCTCAAGCAGAAGTCTACACGATCGAGGACGATCACGTCGAAGTGAATGATTCAGCTCTGGCGGCGTACACTCCAGACGAGGTTGCATGCATGTATTATGAAGCGATGAGATACGGAGACACACTGAAAAAGGAGCGTACTGGTAGGCGAAGTGGTGTGTATAGTGTCGTTAGGGGACGGAGCGCAATCCTCGTCGCTGCGATCTGGACAATCCGGATGGCCGTCGCACCTGTAGGCGTCCTCGATGCATTTCTTCCCGGTGGCGCATTTGAACTGGTTAGGCGTGCATTCCGGTTCTGTATTTTGTTTTGTTTCACAGCGGACATATGCGCAAAGAACATACACATTTTTACACATACAGTGAAGACTCGTGTACATATGTATATATATATATTATATACATATATATATATATATATATATTATATATATATATTATATATATATATAGAGAGAGAGGTATATGTATGTATCGAAGCAGAAAAGCCACACGTAGCGCTCTCAGAGCTCTCTTTTGCAAAGGCATAACGCGCTTTCGACTCAAGGCGATCAGTTTTACTTCTTTTTTCTGTTTTTTTTTTTAATTGATAGCTACCGGTCCGAAGTATTGTCACATCGCGAAAGCGAAAAAGCTGATTCTGGAGCAATCGTGAGTAGAGCGCAGTTGTGTTGCGAAATGGATGAGAAAAGCGGTGAAAATTATTTCCGTCCCGGCATTTATAAAGCACGAGCCATCCCGCGCGTCTCGAGGCGGATGAAACGTTCGTGAAAAATGACCCCGTCGTATTGGCTAATGCGGATTACGATGTCGCGTGCATCGCGCGAAAAATGTGTCGTGACGATAAGTACGACGACGACTTTCACCCACCCTCACCCGCGCGCGCGCGCGGAGATCGACTATAAGTTTTGCACACAGAAGGGATACACGATTATTAGTTCCCCATAAATGTGTGTAATGGTCCGCTATTACGTGAGGTCGTTTGTCGACGAGAAAGACGACATTCCGGTATTTAGAATTCCGACTTCGCGAAGATAATTCATGCATATTGATTTGCATCGATCTTGCGTGTAAAAAATATATATATATATATATATATATATATATTTCCTGTTCGTTTTNTTTTTTTTTTTTTTTTTTNTTTTGATAAAATCGCGAGGATGTGAAAACGTGCCGCTTAATGTATTAATAACAAATTGCTCGCGCGCGCGCGCGCGAATTGAGTTGCACACGTCGTGTGTATAAAATCATTGTTGTATTAAACTATTATTTAACAAATTTTAATTAAAACGCAATAATAGTGATACTAAATTATGTTTAATACTGCGGGATATCGTGTCGAAAAGTTTACAATTCTTTGCAATGTGAAAAATTCGTGTGATTTATATTCTACATACTTCACATGGTGATTTGCGGAAGATGTAGACAAGAGAGGTGAGGATGATAATGATGAAGTTATTTACACGACTGTGTATTAATGAGTGAGAGCTGTAGAGGATTTCTAGTCGCAGATTTCAATCTCAAATTTTATATCTCTTAGTTTTTTAGTTATTTTATTCACCATTTTGCTTCCACTTCTCTTTCCATCCGAATGCAAATTATAATTAATATATATAATTTAATTTTTCAAAGCAACGGTTATTTCGGTGAACGACCAATTTGACCAACAATTGAGAAAAAATGTTGCGATCAAACGAGCGCGCAATGCAAATAAACGAACAATCAAATTGACAATTAAAAAGATGATTTTATTTAAGAATATTCATTTCCTTGTATGTTTATTGTACAATATTCAATTATGAGATCTGCGAGTAAAATCCTAATTATATTGGTGTAAATTAATGTTGGGAGGATCCAAATTTAAGCTCTATACTTGGCATCTGACCGCCAAGAAACGAGTTTAAGAGGATCCAACGAGATGAAATAATTAGCGATTTGTTTATTAGCAAGCGTTCTATCGACACAAGCGAAGCGGGGATTGAAAAAAATGTGTCGCGAAGGAAGAGAGAAAGAATCAGGTAAACTCTCTCTCTCACACACACACACATTCAAATCAAATACTTTTCCCTTACGTACACGTCAAAATGATTTTATCAAGATTTTTTTATCATTACTTGTAGAAATAACTTCTCGATGTTATATCATTCTGTTGGCTAATATCATTTGCTTGCAAAAGCGCTTGTTTGTTTCTTAAACATGTGTAATATTACAAAAAAAATATTGTAGCAAAATCAATAAAAAAAAAAAAAAAAAAAAAAAAAAAAAAACTACATTATTATTAACGAGATCGTACAAAAACACACGCTACTATTTCAACTGAGAATATTTTAACCAAAACTGCCTATCGATTCGCGGAGAAAACCATAACAGTGCGAATAAATAATTCGCACCAATTATTCGGAACCAATTTCTACGCTTTTGTAGTTAAAATTCCATCGTCCCACTTGTTATATTGAATCGCGTATAACGATACCGATAAAACAAAAATATTACGTTTCAGTTTCAAAATTCTCTCTTTTTTTTTTTTCTTTTTTTTTTTTTTTTTTTTTTTAACTGCGAGTTGCGTTAAACGTCAAAATAACAGTGGGTAATGTTACCGTTGCAAAAAGTCATGCGTGCTCGCAACACGTACGCGATATGTATATATGTACTATCTCATTCAGTCTTTCTCTTTCTCTCTCTTCGCGATACTACGGGAGAGAGCGATTGATAAGTATCCGAAACGACGCGTAGAGACGAGGGTGTCGCATTGTCTTGACGTTTGTTCTTCCGAAGGATGGAAACTTGTTTATATATATGACAGACAATGTGTGTGTTACTGCGCATTTTAATCCCCCGCGCGCGTCATTGAATGCTTATCAATCACTTCACGTGTAAGGCAGCAACGTGTGACAGGTATTACATGGGTTATGTACCGCAAGAAAGCTCGTCTTCTGCCATGGGGCAGTCGTCGACTCCGTTACAGACCAAGTTCGTCGGTATGCAAGAGCCATCCCCGCAGGTGAAGTCCATGGAAGGACACGGGGCCAAACCTACAGGATGCCACCGGCAAAAAAATTCAAGACCCTTCTTATCAACGCTCGCGTCTCGTATTCTGTCTCGCAGTCGCCATACAGACTCTCAGTATATAAACTTTCCCGCGAGTTTAGAATTCTAGAATTGTTGCTCACATAATACAATAATCGACGAGTAAAAACGCAATCTTCGTCGCGCGAATAAACAAACAAAATCGGCGGCGAAAAACTCAGTCATTCAGTATAAATGACATCTCGCAGCCGTTACACGATTTTTCTTGTTAAAAAAACAATCTCAAAACACATTTACGTATCAGCTAATTAATGCAAGTTCATCAATTCGAAATAATTTACTCTATGAAATAAAAAAGAATCTAATCAATTAAATCCAAAGATGCGTATGTGATAATTAAACAAAATAATGAACTAACATGTGAGCGACTGAAACAGACGCGAGTTCGAGGTTGAAGTTATTTACAAGCTATATGAACATACAAGATGTTACACAAAGAAACATTTAAAGCAGTATTAAAGGCATGGTAAAGGGCTTGTAAGTATATATATATATATGTATATGTACACATGAAAAGCGTCTTTGGTTAAAAAAACAACGCGTGATTCCGCGACCAAGAGATTGTTTTTTTGGCACAGGATGTCCTCGAAGCTTGTTTCTAACATTGAAAGCGTTGTGTGAAGAAGCCCTTTGAAAGTGATTGAAATTATTTCGATTTTGCAAGAAAAAGCAGAAATACGAAACTCGTTTTTTGTAAAACTGCGCGCATGTTTTTTCACTTAATGAATCGCGATTGACCTCACGCTCGTTAATTTTGTATATTATAAATTGTTTTTTTTTTTTTGTTTTTTTTTTTCGATTTTAATTCTCAAATTTCTACACAGCCTCGTATTTCCTTTTCCTTCTCTCTATTCTGATTTATTCTTGATATTTCGTTATGGATATTTATATATACAGTGTGTGTGTTTCGGACGTGTTCACGTGTATTGTGTGTAGAAATTTTGTATTAAAAAATTTTTGTTTCAACTAGATTGTTCCCGCGGTGTGCGATTCGGTGTGTAAGAATTTTTTTTGAAATTTTTTTCCGTGACGTGAGAAGCAAATTTGTGTACTGTATCCTTGTGGGGAGCGAGTGAATTGCTTGTGTGACTCTCTATATGTGTGTGTGTGTGTGCCGTAATGTCAAGAGCTTTGTAGTGTGCGGAATCGATAAAATGAGGATGATGTGATTCCTTCTTGTGTATCCGGGAAGAGGATTTGTTGTTTGCGATTGCTTAATTGACAATCTAATCTCGCGATTATGTGAAGATATTATTCCGCGCGGGAATGCGGTAATGACTAACGCGTCGTCTGACGCGTCTACTGACGCACCGGAGATAGCGAAGTCCTCCTTCCCGCGTTCTCGTTAACCACAAATCCTCTTTCGGAAGATTGGGCGATAAGTGTGAGTGATAAAAGTGTAAATGGAGTTTACACAAAAAAAAAAAAAAGAGAATAAGAGATAAGATAATTCTCTAATAATAGATAAGATACACTCGCACCGCACATTGCAGTCACTGCACTCAGTGAATTACCAGGTCTAAATAATTATGCGGTTTTCTTTCTCTCTTTCTTTCTCTCTCTCTCTCTCTCTCTCTCTCTCTCTCTCTCTCACTCCACAGAAGGCGATATTTTTACAGCACAAGGGACGACACAGTGTGTAACGTGCACGTTTTTTACATTTTAAACCCGAAGCGCCATGTCTCGCGGCAGATTTGTTTGCTCCAAACACGTTTACTTTCCCCCAAAGCTGTTGTAATCGCGCACAGACAGTAGGATGTAGAGTTTTTTTTTTTGTTCCAGCATTCGCGCGTTGCGTCGTTTTTTTTTTTTTTTTTTGTTTTCGAAGAAGAGCGAAAGCGAATTTTTTCTGCGAGTCACACATAAGAACAAAAGAGAGAGAGAAACGAAGCACCCATCAGCGGAAACAACGACGATCTTTCTTCGATTCTTGTTCTCTCCAAGAAACGGAGAGAGAGAGTTCTCGCGTTTTCCGAAAATAATGTTCACGTGTGTCATATAACTACAACGTCGTCTTATAATATCTTCGGAGATACGGTTTCTGTAAAAGCGTAGGATTCTCCGTCCTTCCCCCCGGAGGAGGAAGTCACGTTTGCTTCTGAGAGCGGTCGCCGTGACGCGCCGTGACGCGCGTTCCGTTTTCGCAGGCAGAGAGATTTAGTAGCAGCGAGGAAGAGAGAACACACGGAACGCGCGATACACACACGTATCATCCGTGCGAGATATTATTTCGTAGATTTTCGATACCTTTGCAATTATCTTCGTCACTGCCGTCGTAACAGTCCCATTCGCCGTCGCAGATCTTCGACGCGCTTATGCACCTGCCGTCGTCGCAGAGATGCTCGACATCGGTGCATTCGTCGTTCGCTTCATTCTTTGAAAAAATATTGAATCCCTTCCGGTTTACGTTGTTTCTCACATACTCCTCCAATCTGTTCATGTATATGTACTCGCAATTGGTCTCGTCGCTTGCGTTTAGACAATCCACGATGCCGTCGCAAACCTTGTTCTCGTCTATGCACGTGTGCTTGTCGCACGCGTATTGATTCTTGTTGCAATTGTCGGCTTCGTAATCCTTCTCGTTGGACGTCGACCTCGCGTCTTCGTCGTCCTCGTCGTCGTCGTCGTCGTCGCGGTCATCCGAAATCACGATTCCCCCCGTCGTCACGACGTCTGCGGTGCCACTTTCCGTTTTGTTTTTTCCATCCCGACAATTGTCGGAAGTTGTTTCGTTCTCGTCGCATCTCTCGTCGCCCGACGTCGATTTACTCGCGGAGATTGTTGTCTTCTCGCTTTCCCCGCTCGCGTTGGTTTTTTTAATCGCGACGTTTTCCCCGCTCGCGATTTTCACGACAACGCGTCCACTCGACGCGAACGTCGCGTCGTTGTCCGTCTTGTTGTCTTTTTTCGCGACGGAATCGCTCGAAAGCGACGACGCAACATATTCCTCAGTCCTCGAATCCGGATCGTTCGCGTCTCCGCTTGAGGAACTCGAACCGTCAATCGAATTGCTCGAACCGTCAGTTGTATCTCGCGTCTTATACTCTTTGAGGCTTCTTCCGTCGGATGTTGCTGACGCGTAGAGTGCGGTCGCGCGATTTTTACTCGTCGTTTCTTTCGAACCGAAAAGTTCGTCTTGAACAACGCTGCTCTCCCCGATGTCATCAGTCTCGGAGAATATCGTCTTAAAAGATTCCGTTGTGGTTGTTTCATCAGTGAGATACCAGTCGTTCCTACTCGTGCCGCGATTGTCGTCAGCATTGTCAGACCTCCCCGTGTCATTAGGAAAGAACGTGGTGACGCTCGGTTGTGAGCCATAATCGTTGCCATAATCGCTCGTCGCCTCGTCGGTTCTCGGAGTGACGGTTGGCTTGCGATTCTTCTTTCGCTTTTTGTCTGAATTTTTCTTATTTTTCATCTCGTTCCTCTTGCCGCCCTTATGACGATTATTGTGTCCGCGTTGTCTGTTGCCGTGTCCTTTGCCGGATCCTTTCCTTTTGGACTCGTTGTCACGGATTATCTCCGGAGCCCTCGTTGTCGTCGTTGTCGTCGTCATCGTCGTCGTTGTCGTCGACGACGACGACGACGACGACGTTATCGTCCAGTTCTCGAGAACACCGAAATCATCCCGCGATCCTTCGTCCAGAGACTCTCTGGATTCTTGCAATTCCTTCGGATACACGGAATCGTTCGCTATAATAGTTACGGATGCTTCGTTTGAGTTTATCAGTCCGGAATCGATTTTGTCCCGACTCTCTCTCAACGAACTTTCGTTAGACGTAACTACGGACATTTCGTTTGAACGGTTGTCAAAGATTTGGGTTCGATTATTCGGAAAATATCGATGTAGCTTTGCATCGACAGTATTAGATTCGTATATTGGATTTTCCGTTGTTGTCAAAGAGTAATCGATCTCGTCAGTTTTTGCGGGTCCTGTGACTAACGTATTTCCCAAAGAAGTCGCCTCGTCGGATGCGATCGCATCTGTGCTCGTAGGAATTGTTGTTGTTGTTGTTGTTTTGTAATAAACCTCGCTATTTTTTTTCACCTTACGTCCGTGTACAAGTAACGTATTTTCCAAATCGTCACTTTTCGCTACGACGTTCACATCCGACAAGTTGTCGTGTTTTTCAAAAACAAATAGCTCGTCAGAAATTTCGACAAATTTCTCCGTTGCATTAATTTCTTCAATTTTACTCGCGGACATTTCACGATCGTTGACGATTGTTTTCGAAGACGCGATTGTATCTGACAGTTGCGCGTCAATTATCGATTCCGTTTGCGTTCTTAACGTTGTCGCGGTGAATGAATCAAGTAAAACGCTCGAATATTCGTCGACGTAATTTTCGGAAACGTTCTTTAAACCGCACGTTTCACAAATTACCGTTTGGATTTTGCCGTTCGCGTTTGTCTCGTTAAACTTTGAATTGACATTAATATCGTACGTCACCGCTGTCGTTTTGGTAATTGTCATGTAAGTCGTCTCGTTATTTTCGTCCGATACCGATTCGACGGTAATATCGCTCGTTTCTCGTTCAATCGCGGAAAAATTATTCTTCGCGCTACTTATAGTCGGAGCTTGCGACGTAGTGACGTTTTCGAAATAAAATACACATCTTGTATTATTGTTTATTAATCCCAGTGTTTTGTTTATTTTTGTAGCATTTTTATCGGTTTCCCATTTGGACGAAGAATTACGGGACGCTCTTGCGTCGGATGTTTTGACACTTTTCATATTTGTTCGGTTTCGTATTTTTTTACCATCGACCGTGCGCGCGTTTTTCGGCAACGAGTCGTTGTCGCGTCTGAACATTAAAGATCTCAGGATTGACTGCTTGAGAGATTTGGACATTCGGGACTCGTTATTGGACAATTTCGACGATACGTTGTTCTTAGCAATTGAACGATCGGTTTGTTTCCCGTCGTTATTGCAATCTGCGGGTTCTTTGCGAACGTGTTCCGATTTGCGCCTCGACGGCGAAACCCCACGGTCTTTATCTTTCGATTCGGGCGCGATTCCTGTCGCATACGCCGCGAGATTTCGCAGCAAGGTGTTTGGGAATCTTCCCGGGTAAACTTCTTCCGGAAACGCTTCCAAGAACGGGTTGCCGATCGTCACGCCGGGTTTGATGGTGAGCCGCGGAACACTTTCCGTCGTTTTGGATTGCATATTCATATTCCCGCGGCGTTCTGTAGGTTTTTCCTTGTGGAAAATTGCGGCGGTCGTCGTCGTCGTTGTCGTCGTCGGTGACTTGAATGTGAACTTCGTGCCGAACTTCGCGGCGTTATGCAAGTTTCGCCGTGGGTGCTTTTCTACGAGCGACGCATGATTTCGCGATAAGTATGATTAAAAAGGGATCATCGCCCGCGACAAAAATGTTAGAAACGGAATTTTTTTTCTGAGGGGAAGAGGAAAAACTACACTTTTGTGCGCGAAATTCGAGCGCGATCGATCGCGCGAACGAAACGGTTTTTGAATTTCGCCAGCTTTAGCGCATTCGGGCTTTATTATTTATCGCGTTTCGCTGAAACTGCACTTTAACTAAATTAATTATTTAAAAAAGACCGCAGAAAATCAAACAAAAACTTTTGCATCTTAAAAAAAATGCACTATAATTTATAATCGAAAAAAAATAACGAGCCAAACTGCAAGTTTAATATCGATCTCTTCTTCGTCTTCTGCATATTTCAGTGTTGCGTTACATATTGTATCACTACTAATTTCAAATGAACAAAATCAAGAGGGGAAACGCTCTTTCGTACAATAAACTGTGTATAATAATCAAAAAACGCGAGATTCGTCTATTTACACAACAAAAAAAAAACAAAACAAAACAAAAAATAAAACAACATATGAATGTTTCGTTTGGTGCATGCGTGTGCATGAATATGACGAATATGATAAAAGAGAGTGTGTCTGTGTCTTTCTGTGTACGTGTGTGTGTGCGTGTGCGTGTGAAAGAAAGTGAGTAGTGTGTGTGATTTGATGATGTATACATAATTACCGCAGTCTCTCTCATCAGAGCCATCGGAGCAATCGTTCATCCCGTTGCACTGCAACTCGTAGCCGATGCAGCCGCCGTCCGTGCAGCGGAAGTCGGTGTCACGGCAACCTGCTCCATATTACCACACTCATGCGCATTTTTTTTTTCAAAAACAAAAAAAAAAGATGCAATGTGCCCTCCAACCACCTTCGAGAAGTGTGATCCCCATTCCCGCGCGATTTTTTCGGCAAAAATCCCTCGGCAATGATCCTCCAATGAAATCCCGCGAATATTCCGAATCTCCCGTCCGAGAGACGATCTCTCAATGGTTGTCAAAACGCGCGATGCCGGACATTTCACACCGGCATTAATGTATATATTCTGACGCAAATACGAGATAAATGAATCGCGCGCGCGATTGCGATGTCATTCTCGGACGGAAGAAACGGACCTCTCGCACCCCTTTACCTGAATGAGAGATGCTTCGAGCTGCGCGCTGCTGAGATTAGTACACGAGCGAAAATAGAGGCACGTAGAGGAATCTTACAAAGCGAAGTCAACGATCCGCATTCTCAATCGAAGACGAATTAAGTTTTCGATTGACAATGAGACAGAATCGCTGTCTGTGCTGTTGTGATGATTGTTGTCGGTCGTTTATCAGAATAAATATCGGAAATTCGCTTGAAAATATTAATTAATTCGGAAAAACAAAGATCGCACTCATTGGGGGTTTGGGGGAGAGGGGGGGGGGGAAACGGAAAAGTACATTTGCGCAACTTTCGATAAGATAAATATCACAGGCGAAATGTTGTCCGAAAGTTTCGCACCATTTTCTCACACACACACACACACACGCACACGACCGATCGCGTGTGCGCGCGCCTTGGGTTTACATTGCAATGAAAACCCGAGGATTAGGTGAGGCTGTGGTGCAACGACATGAGGGGGGGGGGAGGTTAAACTCTATTTTGGGAAAAGACGTTACTTTCGGGCGTCGCCCACCCGCACCGCGGGCGTAAAGTTCGGTCAGCGTGGAAAATCGTAAATCGAAAGTCACGCGAAGCGTGCCGGAGAAAATTAAGTTTACGTATTCGCATTACACACAGCGCGCGCGCAATGGCGTGTCCGTCCGTTCCAACGTTGCGCTCTTTTTCGGATTGCCAAAACGCGCCAACGCGCGCATATAATTACGCGCGCCCGCAGCGTAAATGCGCACGATATCGATTTGCAAAATTTAATTTACAGACGGTGCGCGAAGTTTTTGTTTTGTCGCGATGATACGATGAGACAAAAAATAAAAAAAAATAAAAAAACAAACAAACAAAGTTCACGATTTTTCTATCCGAAATTCGAAGAAGATTGTGGATATATATCCGTGCGAAATCCTTATTACTTCTGTGAGAGGGCGAGTTCGAGTTTCTCCAGACTCGAATGAAATCACTATTAAATTTACATTCGCGAGATTTATTAAAGTGCCCTGCAATCTTGTTGTTAAACTTCGCAGGCGCGTTTGAGGGTTTGCTTAAGCTCAGACGCCGCTGCCACCGCCGTTCTCGATCGCTCGTGAATAATCACGTTGAGCAACTGACACTTGGCAAAGAGTTATCGGTGCGCAAGCTTATCGCGGCTTATTGCTGGAACCGTCGACGACGACGACGGCGGCGGCGGCGGCGGCGGCGGCGGCGGCAGCAACGGCGGAATTATATCGATGCGCGCGTTGCGCAAAAGTGATTATTGATCTCGCGCGATTATGTGCAAACATGCTGAAACATGAAAATCACGTTAAACGAGACGACATAGCGCAGAGACGACATTATAAGTGAAAACAATGAAAATTAGATTCCGCTGAAATCCGCATTATTAAAATCTCGTTGTGCGGGTAAAAAGGAAAGGGGGGAGAGGGGGGGAGACGGGAGTTGCGCTCCCGGAGAGCATCGAAAAATCGATCGAGTAAAGTATGTATACACGAAGAAGAAGAGATGAAAAGCACGCGGAGAGCCGACTTACCGCATTGGATCTCGTCTTCGCCGTTGCGACAGTCAGGGTGCCCGTTGCAGCGTTTGTCGATGCTTATGCAGCTACCGTCCACACATCGGTACTGATCTCCGCTACAGGTGGTCACTGGAAAACAACGGGCGCGTTTTGCGATTATAATAAATATCCCCATAAATCTTATATTTATCATACAATGAAAAAATCAAAGAGCCTACGGTCCAGGTTGAAGGTTTATATAATTCTCATTATTATTATGTAAACAGTGCGCGCTGAAGATGATCAACAATAAAAAGTGATCAAAACGTCCACCTTCAACCTGGACCGTAGGATCTTTGGTTTTTTTTTTTTTTTCATTGCATTATAATTTGTTTCATCAAGCCGTTGTTGATATTAATTCTTATATTTATCTTGGCATATCTTCTTATTGTCGTAACAACAATTTTCAAATTTATATTTACAAGAGAAAATGTCGTAGATATTTTGAAAGTAATTACGAAGTGATTTCTCGTTCTCTCTTTACATAACCGTGGTATAAGAGATTCTGTTCGCAGTAAACTGCATAAAAGAAGCCGAGTGTACTTTTAAAAACTAATTAGTTGTAACAAAAAAAAAAAAAAAAGAAAAAACATCGAACTCAGAAAACAAAACAAAAAACATAATACCGGTGCAATTACGCTCGTCAGAATAATCGGGGCAATCGTTTCGTCCGTCGCATCTTGCGCTTTTGCTGACGCACACGCCGTTAGCGCACTCGAACTCGTCCGCTCGACATCGTGCTATGTAAAAAAAACAAACAAAACTTTAAGAATATACATACAGAAATAAAAAGAACAACGAAATAGATGAAAGCGGATAAAAATGAAACGGATAAAAATGAAAACAAAAAAAAAAAAACAAAAAAAACCCCCCAAAAAAATAAAAAGCATGAAACGATAGTGCCGTCATTTGTTTTTTACGATAGCTTTTACAATGATATCTTGATTTAAGTTGAAAGTTTTTATTCTCTATGTATGTATCTCTGAAACGATAACAGAAGAGGTATCGGTTCGTGCTTTTTTGTTTTTTGGTTTTTTGTTTTTGGGTTTTTTTCTTTTTTTTTTTTTTTTTTTTTTTTTTTTTATTGTCGAAATTTCGAACCGCGCATCAAAGTATATTCGATTAACGCGATATCAATAATCAATTGTGCAGTTATCACCCTGTCGCGTTGTGCAAAAATATTCGACAGGCTGCTTTAGTTAATTAAAAACAGCAACTGT